AGCTTTATATTATTAATATTTAAAGTCATCTGTTTAAATTACTTCAGCTTATTTTTTTACTGATTTAATTTAATGATTTTCTTATAAGCAAATATTGCAGATGAATATCAAATACAGGGCATTAACATAAACACATTTGTAAACATTTGGGAAATTGTGTTGTCTTGTAACTTACTCATTGCGCTGCATCTGTTCTGTGTCTTATAGTAAAACATCTTATTCCTGCTGTCAGTGTTTTTAATATGGACCCTTTTCACTAGACGTATGAACATTTCTATACATTTATGAATGTATTATATCATCTTTGCGGCAAAATAAAAAAAAGCAAATTACCGCTTATGCGAGGTGTTTCTAATGAAGCGTCTATGGGGCTGAGAGTAAATTTGATGTTATTCTCTCCTCTGGCTGCCGTCATCAGTCTCACATAATTTTTTCCTTTTTCTGAAAGTCTTGATCACACCATCGTGGAGTTTTTCTTTTATTGTTTTATCAAATAGGACTGTAAAAAAAAAGATTTTCTAATATTAAACTCTAAGTTTACCTAACTCTGACGCCTTCTGCTACTGAGAATCCCGGAAATGAGAAAAGGGTCTATTAATCAAACTCTGCTTTTGACTGAATAGCCACTGTGTATAAGCTACTGTACTTTAATAAAGGTTAACCTTTGCTTAATCTATACAGTGAAGATTATGTACAGTATGGCGTGTTATACAGTATTTAATTACTTTTTACATTTTATGTGACAGAAAGCTACTGTTAGATACAGAACAAACCTGAAAAGTTTTGTAAATTTTAGGAGTGTCTTTGCTTTGGTATATTTTGTATTGTTCTTTACTTGTAGTTCATTTTGCTTCGGTTTAGTCCCTTATTAATCAGGGGTCAACACAGCAGAATGAACCGCCAACTATTCCAGCATATGTTTTATGCAGCAGATGCCCTACCAGCCACAACCCAGTACTGGAAAACACCCATACACTCTCACATTCACACACACAATCATACACTACAGCCCATTTTGCTAACCTAATTTAATTATAGCGCATGTCTTTGGATTGCGGGGGAAACTGGAGGACCTGGAAGAAAACCCATGCCAACATGGGGAGAACATGCAAACACCACACAGAAATACCAACTAGCCCAGCCTGGACTCGAACCATGGGCGGGCGGACGGACAGATGGACGGACGAATGGACGGACAGATAAATATAGATAGATTTATTGATGGATGGACGGACATACGGACGGACGGACATACAGACAGACAGACAATCAGAAAGATAGATAGATAGATAGATAGATAGATAGATAGATGGATGGATGGATGGATGGATGGATGGATGGATGGATGGATGGATGGATGGATGGATGGATGGATGGATGGATGGATGGATGGATGGATGGATGGATGGATGGATGGATAGATAGATAGATAGATAGATAGATAGATAGATAGATAGATAGATAGATAGATAGATAGATAGATAGATAGATAGATAGATAGATAGATAGATAGATAGATAGATAGATAGATAGATAGATAAATAGTTGGACGGATGGACGGACGGACGGACAGACCGAGACATACAGACAGTCGGACAGATAGATATAGATTGATTGACGTATGGATGGATGGATGGATGGATGGATGGATGGATGGATGGATGGATGGATGGATGGATAGAAAGACAGACACAGACAGACAGACAGACAGACAGACAGACAGACAGACAGACAGACAGACAGACAGACAGACAGACAGACAGATAGATAGATAGATAGATAGATAGATAGATAGATAGATAGATAGATAGATAGATAGATAGATAGATAGATAGATAGATAGATAGATAGATAGATAAATAGTTGGACGGACGGACGGACGGACGGACAGACCGAGACATACAGACAGTCGGACAGATAGATATAGATTGATTGACGTATGGATGGATGGATGGATGGATGGATGGATGGATGGATGGATGGATAGAAAGAAAAGACACAGACAGACAGACAGACAGACAGACAGACAGACAGACAGACAGACAGACAGACAGACAGACAGACAGACAGACAGACAGACAGATAGATAGATAGATAGATAGATAGATAGATAGATAGATAGATAGATAGATAGATAGATAGATGATTTGCATATTTTGTAATAAACTTTAAATACTTTGTTTCTAGATTTGAAATACAAACTAAAGCTAAAATAATTTACAAAAAATGGTCATTCCATTGATGGTTAAACACAAGTATTGTGTGTGGATTCACGAATAATTTAATGAATGATTTGACATAAGTAATAAAAACACATTAAATAACAGTAATGTTTAAAAAAGCAGTCAGCATTTTTCTTCAGTTCAGTGTGGTCATGTGGTCACTACACGTTTACACAAGAGCTCCCGAGATCACCCCAGGAATGTTAAACGATAATACTGCAGACTAATTAAAAAATAACATCATTTTCTTGTCTGTCCTCCCTCAGTCTTTTCCTTCCCTCCCTTTGCATTCCTTCCCCTGACAGATTGAGTCGGGCCTGTCTCCTTATCTCTCCATCACACTATCCCTCCATCACAACATGTCTGTGTCACTCGCCGCTCTCACTCTCAATCAATCCATCACCCTCTCCCCTCTCTCTCTTTTTCTCTGAATCCCTCCATCAGAGAAAGTTGCTGACACTTTCTGCAAACAGGTCTCGCCTCCCTCAATCTCTTTCTTTCATCACTTCTGTCTCTCTTTCTCTGTATCACCATCTTCACATGGAAATCTGCTAACAAGACTCAGATCTGAGAGAACACAGTCTCTGATCCTGCACACCTACAGATATTTGCAGACACACTGGATGAAATAAAAAAGCATGAAATGTTATTATCTTTAATGTTCTGTTGAGGTTATATTAGCTTTCTTTATACTTTGGGGCCCCCGGGGACGCTGCTGATCTATGTCTAATAGCAATTTCAAAAATCATGTCTTGTTCTGTTCAGACAGAAGGTGACATGCTGACATAATGTGTACTGAAATTGGCTTTAAATGTAATACATAATGATATAAAGCTTACAAAGACTAAACAGGATAATACTTATTTTACAATATATTATTTATTTTATTTATTTTATTTCCTATTTTAAAGGTGTTTACCAATATTTATATTAATGAGAAGCTGTATCAATTTTAATGAAAAGTGTAGTGAGAATTTTAAAATCTTTTTTCTTTCTTTTTAATAAATAAAATTAATTGTTAATTAAATTATAATGCATGCCTGTTTTATACTTAATATGTGAGGGTGTGTGTGTATATATATTATAATATTATAATAAATATAAGATTAAAATAATCCATTTTGAATAAATTTGTAATAAAATAATGACTGATAATGATCAAAAATCCTTATTTTAATTCATAATACTCTGAATTTGATTTTTTTTTTTTTTTTAGAAATTATCATTTAATTTATAATATTTAACTGTTGTAAAATCTTATATAATATATAACATTGTTATTTAATTTCCCAGGACTGGGTTAGCGCTGGAAGCCGCTGCATAAAAACATATGCTTCAATAGTTAGTGGTTTATTCCGCTGTGGCAACCCCTGATAAATAAGGAACTAAGCCGAAGGAAAATGAAAGAATGGTTGATTATTATTTTAGCATTAACATTATTATTTTCACAATATTCCAATTTCCTGATATAGTACACTGATATTAATTTGTAATATACATTGACACACAAATATATAACTGTAAAATGCTATAGTAAACACCTGTAAACTGTAACTTTACACAAATACATTCATTCTTTTCTTTTCAGCTTTGTGCGTTTATTAATCTGAGGTTGCCACAGCGGAATGAATCGCCAACTTATTCAGCATATGTTTTCCCCTTCCATCTGCAACCCATAACGGAGAAAATTTACATATATAAAATACTATAGCTAGTTACCTTATTACCGAATGTAAAAACGTAATATTTTTTGTTATATATTGCCAAATGATATACTATATAGCCTATATTATACTGTGCAGTATATGTGTGTAAAATTAGCTTTATTCTTTAGAGACGCCCATAATCTATGTCTTTCTCTGTATGCCATTGTTGTTCTGATAGAAGGCGACATGTTGACATAATGTTTGCAGAAATTGGCATTAATTGTAATAAATAATGATATAAAGCATATTTCATATTTTCTGATGTAGGACAAGGATTTTCATTAACGCTATATACCTGCTACCTGTAACTTTACATATCTATACAATTGCTTACCCTATCAGCCTTCTGTATGTGATGAAAATGTTATATGTCTGTAATACCAAATTATTAAACTGTGTTTATGACACTGCTCATAGCTATATTAAACAAAAGCATCGTACGTTTTTTTGGCAGGCACTATTGGCGGCAAAGCGGAGCCCACCTTTCATTCATATTCACTTCACTTCACATTCACTGCTACACTTTACACTACAGTCACGTTCGTCCGCGGACCCTCATCTACTCATCCACAGCAGCTCAAATACACGCATGAGCCGTGCTTTCTTTCTTTCCATCTTTCCTTCTTTCTACCTTTTTTCACAGTCAATTCTCGCCGTCACCGGTGATGCATGCGTCCCGCGGATAAACGCGTTTTTCTACCGCACAGTCACGCGCACGCGAGAAACACGGAGGCACGCGAGCCTGAATTACACGGCGGTATAAGAAAACGACCCTAAAGAATGTGATGGCAATGACAACGTTGATAAAACATTAAATATACTGACAACATAAAATTAAGGAATCTTCTAAAACACGTTTTCTTGTCAATTCATACAAATATACACTCTCACAGATAGGGTCACGAGTGGGTGACACTGTTTAAAAAACACGACACGGCATCACACAACAAAGAGCTATTTAACCTATAGCGTTACCATAGTAACAAAGTTAAAACACCTTGAGCTGTGCGCGCGCGTGTGACAGGGAGAAACGGACACATTCGGTGGCTCGTGAAGGCAGCTCGAGTCTTACCTCTGTGAACGCTGATGATGGCCAGAGTTACAATCCAGAGGCAGGTCATGCTGAAGCCCATCTCCACCTCTGTCACTCAGAAAACACACCGTCAATTCATCTTCTTTACGCCGGACTCTGAAACCCCGCGAACCGGTGCTGATAATGTCGCGCGCGTCCTCGCGGTCTGCGTTCATTCAGCGCTCGTTTCTGTTCTCCTCTCAGCAGTGTGGACGCGCCGCTGGAAAAACCTCTTTCTTTCAGCAAATCTCAGTTTTTGATTGTTGAGGAGAGACGCAGCGCTCGGAGATCACCGGAGGACTCGCTCGGTACTGCGCCGGTGGAGCTCTCTCTCTCTCTCTCTCTCTCTCTCTCTCTCTCTCTCTCTCTCTCTCTCTCTCTCTCTCTCTCTCTCTCTCTCATTGCGTTTGTCGTCCTTACACGCTGTTCAATGTCACAGCTCGGCGGATCATACACAAACACTTGCGGAGCGGTTATAAAAGTCATTTGTTTTACCTTTTAAAACCAGCTGTTCATCCTTGGAGCAGACCACTAAAATTTTTCCAAAAGCAGCAGTGAGATTGGAAAACCCCGTTAATCTACATACACAGCTATAGGGGACACCTGGGCTAGCTGTCACGACTCACAGGGGCGAGTTAGTACAAAGGGTTCAGTCCTCCACAGTTGTTTTTCCCTTCTTATTTGAAAATTTTAAGGCTAATTGTAAGCAATGAAATTTGACAAAACCACCTTAGTATGACTGGAGGTTTTACGCTACTAAAAGGCTGCTGTGCTCTCGTGGCAAATTTCATTTTCACATGGCAAAATGGGGCAAGTTGTCACAAGTGTTTACATGTATGTTTTATGGAAATACCTAGTATTTTTGTTCTAGATTTGTAGATTCAGTTTTTTTTGTTTTATATAGCTAATTATGTTACATGTATTTAAAATACTGAAAGGTTGTGGAAAAATGTTCTTTTTTATCTTGTGCTTTATATTTTGGCCGTTTACTAACAATCATTGTGATAACTTGTCCAATAGCCGTAGAAGAAAATATACAACAGCTTTTTTATGTTCTATTTACATTTAGAAATATATGTAGCCTACTTATGAAAAGTTATTTTCAAAACAACTTTTTTACTTAAAAAAATATATTGATTAATTCTTCAATGCACAATGAAAACAAACTATATACAGGCCCAAAGCCAGCTTAGTAAAATGGGTGGTTATTTTTTCTTAAAAATCCCTTTTTGCAGTTATTCGCCCATTTTAGTGACCTTTTTAAGCACCATTTTTTAGCTGAATTAGCTTGTCAGATGCTCTTTTTGATATGTCAAAATATTTCCTCTAGATTTAAAGTAAAGAAATGTGAAGAAAAACTTGTTTTAAATATTTATTACAGCATATATCATTAGAAAAAAATAGGATATTGCTAAAGTTTTAAATTAAAAATTGTAGCCTATTGTTATTTATTAGGCAAATAACAAACTTTCCAGCACATTTAACTGTCCTCAGTCAGAAGTATTGCTAAAAGGCCATTAGTAAAAAATAATTAAAACATAATAATAATAATAATACATTTACATTTTGTCATTTAGCAGGTGAAAGGTGGTTACTTTTTTCTCAAAAAGTGGACCTTTTTGCCGTTATTAGCCTCATTTTCTATTTAATTATAAGATTTAAATGGTGCATTTTAGTAACATTTTAAGTACTATTCTGCATTAGCTTATCGTATGGTAAAATGTGCCAAAACATCAATAAATAAATAAATAGATAAATAAACAAGTTTGTTAGTTAGTTCAATCATTCCTTCCTTCCTTTCTCCATCCATCCATCCATCAATCCATCCATCCATCTATTTATTCATTCATTCAGTCATTTTCCTTCAGCTTAGTCTCTAGTATCAAAAATATCGGTAACACTTTACAATAAGGTTCATTAGTTAATGCATTTACTAACATGAACTAATCATGAACAACACTTGTACAGCATTTATTAATCATAATTAAACATTCACTAATCATTATTAACATCCAAGTCTATGCTTGTTAACATTAGTTAATGCACCGTGAGTTAACATGAACTAACAATGAACAACTGTATTTTCATTAACTAATGTTTACTAACATGAATAAATACTGTAGTAAATGTATTGTTCATTGTTTGTTCATGTTAGTAAATGCATTAATTAACATTAACTAATAAACTATTGTAGTGTAACCAAAATATTTGCTAAAGAATAAAAGAATAAAGTTTAAGAATAAAGAAATATGAATAAATACTTATTTTTAAAATATTCAACAATTCATCTTTATTTCTATTGCTTTTATAGAGTTTTCTATGGAGTTTCAGTTCAGGTTAGTTCAGTGTGGTTTAATATTCACTGCTGAGAGTCCATACACTGAACAGCAAATCCATCGATGCGCAGCTCCACTAGTCCCAAACCAAGCAAGCTAGTGGCGAATACAAATTTATTACATCATATATCTTTAGAAAACAATTGCAATCTAGTTTAAATAAAAATCTAATTAAAAATTTTTAATTAAAAAACTGTAGCCTATTGTCATTTATTAGGTAAAGAACAAAATTTAACTTTCCTCAGTCAGAATTTGGCCTTTCGAATAAAAAAAATAAATAAAAAATCTTAATAATAACAATAATGTAGAGCTTCACAATTTTTGTAGCCTTTCTTGAAAAAAGTACATTTGTAAAATTGTGGATAACAACATTAGCCAAATTAGTATTGAATTTAATTGTAATATGGGCTGCTTTCGGTGCTTTACATCTTAATGATCACTTTTTGTGGTCCAAGATTTAAAATAAAAGTCTCTTGTAAAATGCTTTCTTTATCTAAAAATAATATGTTAGAAAAAGATGACTTTACTTATGTCAGATTGTATGTTTTCTTGCACAGCTGGACCCAAGAAAAATGATTGTTTGCATTGGCCAAAACTGATTAGCTGAAGTCATAACAGCCAACAGAGGATTCTGCTTTGTCTTTTTCAATGGGATATTTTCACTATTTATTATAGCATAGCAATCAAATAAGAACAAATGAGCTCATGTATGGGATACATTCTTGCCCATTGTCAGTGAGGGGTGGGTCTTCCGAACTACCCGAACACCCCCTGGCGACGGGCCTGAACAGTCATGACAACACAGGTCCTGGTGTTATTTGAGTATGTTAACCATGTTTTAACTGATTTTTGTCATGCAACTATATATTTGAACTGACGTCAGTTTAATTTAATATTAGTTAAATTGTCTAAAGTTAAATTGATTGAATTCTTTAAGGCAGCATCTCGATTTACAGTGCAATTAAAGACTCCTTACACCAGATGACCTTATATGTGCTTAACCATCTGATACAACACACTTGCATGCAGATGTCGGTGCACTGTAAATATGTTGGTGCACTTCCATTTAATCCATTCATTCATTTTATTTTCGGCTTAGTCACTTTAATAATCAGGGATCGCCACAGTGAAATGAACCACCAACTTATCCAGCGTATGTTTTATGCAGCGCATGCCTTTCCAGCTGCAACCCAACACTGGGAAACACCCACATACTCTTGCATTCACACACACTAGTTTAGGTCAATAGTAGTGTTCAATTCACCTATAGCACATGTCTTTGGACTGAGGGAAACCTGAGCACCCGGATGATATTCATGCAAACTCCACACAGAAATGACCCAGCCAGGGCTCAAACCAGCGACCTTATTGCTGTGAGGCTATCGTGCCACCTACTGTGCCACCATGACGCCCCTCTTGCATTTAATTAACATTTGTAATTCACATAGTTAACTTTAACTGTAACCCTCTCACATCTAACCCTTAGTCCTTAAATAAACTAAACCTCAAACCCATTAGCAGTACCTGAGGGAATTTTCCAAAATGTCATGTCATTACAAAGTATTAGTATAAAATAGTTAAGCCACCGACATTTTCTGATAGTTGAAGTCAGAATTATTAAATCCCCTGAATTATTAAATCCCCTTTGTTTATTTTTCCCCCCAATGTCTGTTTAACGGAAAGAAATTTTTTTCAGCACATTTCTAAACAATAGTTTTAATAACTCATTTCTAATAACTGATTTATTTCATCTTTGCCATGATGACAGTAAATAAACCAGATATATCGGTAACACTTTATAATAACTACACACTGTGAATCATTTACTAAGCATTAGCATCTAGTGAATTCATTATTTGTTAAGCATTAACTCTACATTAATAAACGTTAGTAAGTAGTTTATAACTGCAGCTACAAATGTTGTATTCTGGACATAAAAGCGCTTTTGTGTTTAATAATTGTATTTTCATACTTAGTTAATGATTTATTTTTCATTACTAAATTAAGTATTGTATTATTTACAAACTAGTTGTATTTAAGAGTAGTTGAGGGTTTTTAGGATGATTTAGAATCAGTTAGTAAATGATTATTAAACTATTGAAGTCAACATTTATATATGTTATTACTCAGGCATATAGTAATAGTTAACTAATAGGTTAATAAATGCTTTATTAACTCAACTTCATGCAGTTTTGTGACCTAATCTAAAGTGAGAACTATTCATGCTTTATAAATCCATTATAAATGACTAATAAAGGCTCAGAATCAAATGAACAATAATCTTTGAAATCTTTTCTAAAAAGTAAAACTACTGTAAAGTGCAAAATATGCCAAATAAAAGGACATCTGACATAAAACTGGATAAAACAACAACAACAATATAATAAGTAACAATATAATAAGATGCAATGTTTAAACTCTACTGTGATTTTATTTTAGATCAGGTTGCAAAGATTTATTTTTCATTTGAAGTACAGTTTCATTTGTGCATCTTTAAATGAATAGGATTGAATAATGTGTTTTTTCCTGTTTAGAATTTTACTGAGCCTTTATTTTTCATTTATGAGTGATTTATAAAGCATAAATAGTCCTCACTTTAGATTAGGTCACAAAACTAGATGAAGTGGAGTTAATAAAGCATTTATTAATATACTAAGTTAACATTAATATATGCCTGAATAATAAGACATAAGCGTTGATTTCAATAGTTTATGAATCATTTACTTACTCAATCTATAGGATCCTAAAAAACCCTCAACTCTTTAATACAAATGGTTTGTAAATAATGCAATACTTAATGAAAAATAAATCATTAACTAAGTGTGAAAGTACAATTATTAAGCACATTTTAAATGTTTGTGAGTCAAGAATAGAGAGTTTGTAGCTGCAGTTATAAACTGCTTACAAATGCTTATTAATGTAGAGTTAATGTTTAACAGATAATGATTTCACCATTTGCCAATGCTTAATAAATGATTTTGAAATAGTGTGTAGTTATTATAAAGTGTTACCAATATATCTAGTAAATATCAGGAATAAATACAGCCTAAAAGGGCTAATAATATTGACCTTAAAATGGTTATAAAAAACAAAAAATTGCCTTTATTCTCGCCAAAATAAAACAAACAAGACTTACTCCAGAAGAAAAAATATTATCAGACATACTGTGAAAATGTCCTTGATCTGTTAAATGTGATTTGGGGAATAGTTAAAAAAAGAAAAGAAAAAATCAAAGGAGGTTTAATAATTCTGATTTTAACTGTATATTTAAATTAATAATAATAAAAATAATAGCCACTGAAATGAGGTTAACCCAAATGTATATTTATTTTGAAGTTAACAAGGGATTTCTTTTTGTAACAAAAAGCAAATACTGTCTAAACAGACCATCAAACAAACGGAGCCCACAATGATGATGATCTCAGAGTTTAGTCCCGTTCAGATGACATCATCGGCCATAATACAAATCAACATACATGACAGAATAGCTCCACATGATATGAATATTTATTCAAAAGGAAGACTTATCATTCAAAAAAAAAAAAAAAAGGAAAAAAATCTAACAAAAACTCCATGAACAGAACATAAAAATACTTTTGAGCGTTCCTGCATCTGTTTCAGTGGGCCAGTGTGTGTGGAAAACAGACACGCAGTAAATGCATCTGTGTTCACTCGAGTGTGTAGACTGTTCAAGGCAACACTAATCACGTGAAATCATTGATTATCCAATGATGAAACAAAAGTCATGGAAACTAGCAACTACACCTTCCAGCCTACGACATTTAGTCATCATAATAATAATAAAAAAAGATTTAAAAAAAAGATGGAACAAAAAATTACAAACAACAGTATATGCACATCTACAGCAGAGTAAAAGTAAACAACATAACTTAAAAAGTAAGCACTGAGCTGATTGATCACTAACTGGAAGTTCTACTGCTTGAGAGAGAGAGAGAGAGAGAGAGAGAGAGAGAGAGAGAGAGAGAGAGAGAGAGAGAGAGAGAGATATGTAGGAATTTTATGCAATGTCGCCATCTGGTGACGGTCAACTGTAAATGGTTACATCAGCAGCTCGTGGTCTGCATTAATGAGGTGTGGAGGGAGTGTGAAGGTAGAGGACGGGTTTTGGTTGTAATTGGTTAGTTGCCGGTTGGTTGTGACCTACATACCAGTTAAATAAATGATCCTGTCATCCTGCGTGAACGAAAATAAGCCTAAATATTAGGTCCCATTCATATGGCAGATGTAATTTAATGCCGGATTCCTTCCTTTTATAGAGGCCAAATTACACTGGAAAAAATATTCATTGGATTTATTTTAAAGTAAGTGGTTGCAAACAATTTACAGGGGCTGAATTTAAACAAACAAATTAAATTTAGTAATGTTCAACTTAATTTGTTTGAATTCAGCCAATATAAAGTGTTTGCCACCAGTTACCTTAAAAAATTAGTATAGCCATTTATTCATTTATTTTCCTTCAGCTTAGTCCCTTTATTCATCAGGGATCGCCACAGCGGAATGAACCACCAACTTAACCGGAATTTGTTTTACGCAGCAGATGCCCTTCCAGCTGCAACCAAATACTTGGAAACACCCATACACTCATCATTTATTCAATTAACCTATAGTGCATGTCTTTGGACTGTGGGGGAAACCGAAGCACTATAGGAAACCCACGCCAACACGGGGAGAACATGCAAACTCCACACAGAAACACCAACTGGCCCAGCCAGGACTCGAACCAGCGACCTTCTTGATATGTGGAAACAGTGCTAACCACTGAGCTACCGTGTCGCCACTTTAGCAAATCCAATTAATCATTTTTTCAGTGAACAAGTGGTACCAAAATGTCCATTTGTTTAGCTGCAGTGATTTAGAATTAACTTAAGCAATTGTCCATGTTTGGGACAGTAAAATGTTTGACGCTACTGTGCAAAGTGGAGTCATTCAGGCTGCATTTCAAACACAACTAAATTAGTAATATTGTAAAATATATAAAAAAATTTTTAAATAAACAACTGGCCACTTTCTGTAATTACAGTAAAACTCAAGCACAAAGAAAAAATTCAGCAATAATTTAAGATTCAAGTTTTTAATTTATGCACAGATTAATCAAACTGCACGTCATTGGTCAAAATGAAATATCAGGTGTTCAAGATGCTTGAACAAACAGAAATATTTTGACAGCACCACAAAATCCACACATGAATGCCTTATTTATCGTTGATTCACATTCACATAGGAAAATGGATTTTAATCATTCATTACTTCATTTTCTTTCAGCTTAGTCCCTTATTTATCAGAGGTCGCCACAGCGGAATGAACCGCCAACTTATCCAGCATATGTTTTATGCAGTGAATGCCCTTCCAGCTGCAACCCAGTACTGGGAAACACACATACATTTATTCACACACCTACACTAGGGTCAATTTAGCTTTTTCGGTTCGCCCATAGCGCATGTCTTTGGACTGTGGGAAACCGGAGCACCCGGAGGAAACCCACACGAACACGGGAAGAACATGCAAACTCCACACAGAAACACCAACTGGCCCAGCAGGACTCAAACCAGCAGTTTTCTTGCAGTGAGGCAATAGTGCTAACCTCTGAGCCACCGTGTTTCCCTAAAATAGTAATACAGGTATTGTAAAATATTTTTAAAATTGTAAATAAATAACTGGCCTATTTCTGTAATTACAGCAAAACTTATTGTAACTTAAGCACAACGTAAAAAGTAAAGTGTGTAATTTATGCACAGGTGAACTGAATCAAACTGCACGCCATTGATCAAATATAATTTAAATATCAGGTTTTCAAGATGCTTTAAAAACAGAGAAATATTTTGACAGCACCACAGAAAGTCAACACTTGAATGGCTTATTTACTGTTTAGGGTTTAAAATTTACTTAATTACATAAATTAATCAGTTATTAGACGACTAAAGGCTGATTTATACTTCTGCGTCAAGCGCACACATATGCTCCGGTGCAACCTACGCATGGACGCATAGCCCTCGCCACGGCTGTGGCTGACGCGCACCTCTCAAAAAAATGTAACTACACTTTGCAATGGCACTGTTCCTACACCAAAATATTTATATGTATTTATTTATATGTAACTTTTGCAAATTTGTAATTATAGTTTAGATATTCAAATTTTTCTTTGTTTTGGGGAAATGTGTTATTTGGTTTTATTGATCCAGACAATAGTACCGAGAAAACGTTCTACTTTATAAATCTTTTACTTTTACTTGCTAAATATTACATACATAAAAGCAAATTCTCCAATATTAAACCACTTTTTAAGGTATCCATAAAAAAATTAAACAATACTTTGAGACACTTTCTGGTTTAGGAAACACTAAGGCTAGAAAAACTTTATCTTGTCATGCCCTATTTAAAATTCCCCTGTAACATTACTACATTTTGAATTACTTAAACTTTTAATACTGTATTTTTATTTTAAGCTTTACTTTATATGTATTTCTTGTTTGACTTATTGTATTTTTTTTCTAAACTGTTTTAACCCCCTGGCATCCTCTATGTTCTTTCTACAGTTCGTAATGTTTCATTATGCTGTAATAATTTACTGTTCAATAAAAAAAACAAAAAAAAAACTTTGCAACGACACATAGCGCAAGCTCTGTGATTGGTCAGCTTGGTAGCGCTGATGAGTGTGGGCAGGACCGAGAGCCGCGCGAACCTGTTGGAGCGAGTGTTTACAAGTGTCGAGTCCCGTAAAAGAGCTCTGGATGGAAAGTTTTGTTTTCTGTTTACTTTATGATTAAAGTTGTTGCACATCCGCCGGTTCCCACCTCTGAATGAGCACGTTTTAGCTTCTTGTGCATTAAGATAGCATTCAGAAAAAAACAAAAAAACCAATAAAGAAACTCAACAGCAAGCAGAAGTATAAATGCACGACTACGTGCAAGGTATGCGCAGTGGGTCACACCAATCACTCAACGCGGAAGTTTAAACCAGGCTTATACCCTGAAACTCCCTCCAAAAATCATTATAATGTTTGTAAATAATGTATTTTTATGGCTGTAAAAATGAGGAAAAGAATAGAGTTGTGGATAGGAACAGAGCAAGTATTTGATCGATCAGAGAGAAATAGAGAGACAGAGAGAGAAAGAGAGCAGTAGTTTGCATTACCCTGCTTTTTTAGAGTAGATTCATTCCTGAAGGTGGCGTGAGTGAGCCGATCACTGGGCCTGATACAATGACACGTCAGCATCACAATCAATGAAATGCATTCAGATTGATGACCTCATAATAAAAAAAAAACATAACATTAATAATCTTCCCGGGTTGATGAAATGACACTAGACTGTTGCACCAACAGTAAACACCAGAAATCAAACTCGAAGAGAACGCAATTCATACAAATATTACTGAAGTTTTCATAACACCATGTATTTTTTTTTCCTATAGTCCAGATATTTTTTTAATCAACTCAGCATTTCCACGCATGTAAGAAAACCAGGCAGGCTCAGAGAGTATATACTGCAATATCAGACAGTGAGGGTTAGAGAGACAGACAGAGAGAGAGAGAGAGAGAGAGAGAGAAAGAGAGAGATGGAGGATATATTTACAGCACACTGAGTAAAAATGATGCTATATAATCGTATATATGTACTGTATTTATAAATTTATATCAGGGGTCCCACACAATGATTGCAGGGGCTGCTGTTTTCACCTGGTTATTGTGTGTGTGTGTGTGTGTGTAACACTAATGTGATGTAAATGAGTGTGTGTGTAACACTGATGTGATGTAAATGCGTGTGTGTGTGTTTGTGTCTGTCAGTGATATTGCAGGGTCTAAATTCAATTTAGTCTAACGTTTAAGATGCTTTTAGTTCAGTGTGTGTTTTGCATGCGTGCCTGTTATGCGTCGGTGTCTTTCAATGGGTTTGGGATCAGACCGTGTGTGTCCTGAAAGTTCATGCATGTGCACTTCAGCGCGCACATCTGGACCGCTAGAAAGGAATCATGGGAGACGAGGGAAGTGTGTTCACTGTCATATTGCCTTGATGTATCTCTTTTTATTGTTTACGTCACGTCGGGTGTGTTTGCTCATTATGGTAATGAAGAAATGTGTGTGTGTACGTGTGTGTGAAAATGAGCCCACGCGCCAGTGCGTAACTCTCACTTCCCTGTCCTGTGTGTCGAAGCTTATTAGAGGTCCTTCAGTCCCAGCAGGTCAACACTTTTTTTTTTTGTTTGTTTTTTATTTTTTCCTCACATATTTGCTCTCTCGTTTGCCATCCCCGTTTATTTCCCCGTCAGGCTGAGTGAACTGAAGCGTGTGAAGGAAGAGGGTACGGAGGGATGGATCTCTAGATGAAGTACTCTTTCTTGTCATCCACCCCGGAGTGGCCTCCCTCAGCGTTAATGATGGCCGTGTCTGCATCCGGAGCATCGTCTGATCCCTTTGCCTCATGAGTCAGGTACGTACCTGAGAGAGAGACAGATAGAGAGAGACTGAAACATTCAACCTTTTAGGTCATGTCAAGCTTTATTGTCATTCTGCTGCATGTGTGAGCGGAGTGGATCATAATTTTGGAGGACCACGGTGCAACATAACTAAACATAATCATAAAAATGAACACGACACTGGACATAGGAGCTATTTTAAACCTATACATAACTAAGATACTGGAGCGATAATCTAACTATACATATACACTCACTGGCCACTTTATTAGGTACACCTGTCCAACTGCTCGTTGACGCAAATTTCTAATCAGCCAATCACATGGCAGCAACTCAATGCATTTAGCAATGTAGACATGGTCAAGACGACCTGCTGCAGTTCAAACCGAGCATCAGATTGGGGGAAAAAAGGACATTTAAGTGACTTTGAACGTGGCGTGGTTGCTGGTGCCAGACAGGCTGGTCTGAGTAGTTCTGGGTTACAGGTTTAGGGTTTTCATCTCTAGGGTTTACATGGCCAGACTGGTTCCAATCGATAGAAAGGCAACAGTAACTCAAATAACCACTCATTACAACAGATGTATGCAAAAGAGCATCTCTGAACGCACAACACACATCCAACCTTGAGGCTGATAGGCTACAGCAGCAGAAGACCACATCGGGTGCCACTCCTGTCAGCTGAGAACAGGAAACTGAGGCTACAATTCATACAGGCTCACCAAAATAAGACAATAGAAGATTGGAAAAATGTTGCCTGGTCTGATGAGTCTCAATTTCTGCTGTAACATTCGGATAGTAGGGTCAGAACTTGGCGTCAACAACACGAAAGCATGGATCCATCCTGCCTTGTATCAATGATTCAGGCTGCTGGTGGTGATGTAATGGTGTGGGGTATATTTTTTGGTATACTTTGGGCTCATTAGTACCAATTGAGGATCGTGTCAACGCCACAGCCATGTTCATCCCTTTATGACCACAGTGTACTCATCTTCTGATGGCTACTTCCAGCAGGATAATGCGCCATGTCATAAAGTGCGAATCATCTCAGACTGGTTTCTTAAACATCACAATGAGTTCACTGTACTTATATGGCCTCCATAGTCACAAGATCTCAATCCAATAGAGCATCTTTGGGATGTGATGGAAATGGAAATCTGCAGCAACTGCGTGATGCCATCATGTCAATATGGACATAAATCCCAGGAATATTTCCAGAACCTTCCTGATTCTATGTCACGAGGGATTAAGGCAGCTCTGAAGGCAAAAAGATGTCCAATCCGGTACTAATAAGGTGTACCTAATAAAATGGCTGGTGAGTGTGCTTAAACTATACACATAATTTCAGACTATACAAGTACTTTTTATTAGACGAAATAATATTGTGCAAAAGAGGTATTATTTTAAGGTTGAAGAAAACAGGTAGTGCAACATGATTTGTGGTACATTCACAAGTAAAGACTGTTCTCTTTTTAAAATAAGGAAATTAGCCTAATCACATGTTCATTAAGTTGGCATCTTCAGTGATTTGCTTAAACACTTACTGTTAACAACTCCCTCTTGTGGACGTTTCATTAAAGACACTGTATTTCAGGTTTTGCAGAAATGTAGAGAGTCACTTCAAGTGAGCTTACAAAGTTGTAGCTTTAAATAGCAACATGTACTTACTTTCAGGTTATTAATATTTTTTGATTAGTTTTTTAATACAGTTTTTTTAAATAAGTTAAAAAATACACGTGACCCTGGACCACAAAACAGTGTCTTATGTGGCACAGTTATATTAGTGGGAATAGCCAACATCTATTTTTGATTAGTAAAGTGTACTGCTGAGAACTCATTTGGACAACTTTAAAGCCAATCTTCTCAGTATTTCGATTCTTTTGGAGCCTCAGGTTCTCAGCCAGATATTTCTATATCATTATAAAATACACATTAATGGTTAGTGTATTTGAATAAATCTCAAATTCCCCAAAAATGTATCTCTTTTTCCAAAATCATTCTAATTTGCTGATTTGTGGTCAAGAAACATGTCTAACATTAACATTTTTAATATATATTGATCAAAGACTGGTAAAATTTAGCATTGCAATCACAGATCAAAATAAAATAAATTTAAACAAAGAAAATAGCTATTTTAATTATACATATGTTTCACTAAATTATTATTTTAGTATATTACTATAATATATTTTATATATTATATATATAGTATATTATTTTTTTACTATATTTTTAATGAAATAAACTGAGCTATAGTAAGAATAATAGATTGAATCCTAAAATACAAAAACACTGAAAACCTGCCTTCAGCTATAATTGAATGTAATTTGACACAGTTTTTAGAGTTTAAAAAATACATATAATATTTTGTGATTGTGATCTGTCACAAATCATTTGAGCCGGCTGATTTATGCACAAAAAACATTTCTATTATCAGTCATATATTAAAAGACTAAATTGAAATTGAAATTAATAATTGAAAGGATAAATAATTGCTGTTAAAAATTCTGCATTACAATCACAGAAAAAAGAAGATAATTGTAATAATATTTCACAAAAGTATTATTTGTTTACAAATGTAACAACTAGCTGCAATTATAATCAAATAAATTGTGCTTTGGTGAGAATAAGAGATATATTCCAAAAAAAAAATAAATAAATAAAAAATAAAAATAAAAATGTTCCTTCAGTTGTTTCCCCAAATAATATATCATAACATTTTCTTTCTTTATTGGCTGTTTTTGTTTTATTTTATTTTATTTTTGCAGAAAGCAGTCTTTTGAATATTGCATTTTCTCTTTCTGCTGTCTATTATTCTGCATTTACTGTAGACATAAATGTTTTGATATTTTACACGAGATTGTTGTTTACATTTACTGACTCATCCGTCTGTGTTTATGCCAATACTTCACCAAAAGGAGTATATATGATCCTCCTATGCGCGGCTGCATTAAATCCTTGTTCAGCAGTATTTTTTTTCCCTGGCATGAAAAGCGAGCCGTTTTTTCCCAGATGTATAGTTTCTGACAGTTTTTCAAGAGCTGTGCGTTGTAAGTCACATAAAGATAGAGGGAAAGCTGTGATGATCTGTTTACAGTGTCCCTCTGTGCAGTCACAGTCACACAGTCTGTCAGTCTCTGTCAATTGCAGCTTGCTCTCTGCAAAATAGCTGCTTTAAAGGGGACATACGATGGAACACAACTGTTTTTGTTCTTTTTAAATAAAAGAAACTGATGTACTGATGCTGACGTCAAACCTTCCAGCCCCTTCCCCAGTGTACTTACAGTATAGTCCGTTAGACTCTAAAAATAGCTCCTTCTGGGAGAATTCAGGACTGCTGTAGCAGCTCTTGAGTTAAGATGAAGTACACAAGTGATGTGTTTTGCATGATAACATTTTTTATTTTTGTTAATTAAATCAAGGCATTCAGCTTTTCTGTTATAATGCAAATTAGCACCTGTCTTATTTTTTTGGTGACTTTATCACAAGATATGAACAGAAAAGCTTACACTCTGTCATCAATGCATCATCCGAGTGTGCAATAATCTTATCCAAGTGTTAAAACATATTTCCATATTGAAAAGAGATTTTTAAAATATGAAATCAGAACAGAAATGTGTCTTTTCTTAATAATAATAATAATAATAATAATAATAATAATAATAATAATAATAATGCATGTGACATGTCACTTCATCCAAATGTTGTAACTAGGGATGCTAATAATAACCTATTACCCACTAACGGAAAGGGTGCATTTTTTTAACCGCTAAATGGTCTCATGTAAACAATTAAAAAATATTATTAATTTATTTCTTTTAAGTTTGGCTGCATAAATGTGCAACACATATTTGTTACCTGGCGGGACGATAACATTTGCAATCACACGTGCCTACAGACGTATTTTGCCAAAGACGCAAAACTAAAAAAGGATTTTCTCGATGAGTTAATGCCAAACCAGCGCAGATGCAGATTGCCTCTGTCTTGAATCTGCGTCTTAAACAACTCCGTTTATGTGCACAATTGGAGAAAGAATCCGCAAAACAAAACTTTCTGAAAAAAAAAACACTCTGCTTTGGAAACAAGCCAGCTTTGGGTTTTCTCTCCGTCAGATTGCGATCCGGCACTGTTCATAAACAAAACAAATAGGCTACGGGATGATTTAGTGCATAACCAACAAACCAAGCTTTTTTTCCATTTGGAAACTTACAGTTATTATTAGTTCTTAAAAAAATATTCATTTATAAAAATAGCCAACATAGCTTAATCTATGAATCAAACTAAATTTAGATTTTTGTATAATGATAACTCTGCACTAAACTGAGGCTTTCATTTTATAGCTTATAAAACATGTATGCAAATAATGTAATTACATATGTGAACAACAAAATTGTCATATGCTATAGTAGTCTATACTTAACAAAAAGTCAACATGTGCACGCCTAGTCATTGTCTCCTATTATGTGCACATGAACCAAGAGTGAGACAGAGAAAATAAAAGCACAGAAGCTCAAAAGGTAAAATCAGATGCTCAAGACATAATTTTTAAATTAATGACTTCTATTAAAATGTTGACAGAGGTTTTTGATATAAGAATTACAGCGGAGCCTTAATTAAATGCATATTTTCTGTGAATCGATTAATTTGAGGTAGCCTGCAACTTTGATTTGACAGAAAAAAACAGCCTATGCTGGTTCTTAAAAAGAATTCAGTCATTGCTTTTGTTTTGTAATCTAAATTTGTGATTTAAGTGAAAAATATTTAAAGCAGGACTATTTATTTTTTTGTTTTACTATTTTGTTCTTTTTTTATGCTGTTGGAAAAACTGCACATGCGTGAAGATGCTCTGTATGCTGTTGTTCGCATGTTAAAATAAATCTGTTTTTTAAAATGCAATATTTAATGTGTCAGACACAAAATAGACATGTCAATTATTAAAATAATAATAACAATAATTTAATGTTAATCTGACCAGGTAACAGTCAATTTTCAGTTAACGGGTGGCGGTTTTTGGTTGGAAAAATTAACCAAAATGAGCATCCCTAATTACAACATATTATGCATATGCTATATTAAAGTAAGATATATTTTTCATACAAAACAGAACAGAAATATGCTTTCCTTAAAATTTTTATTACATTAATGTAAATATATTTACAGTTCAAGTCAGAATTATTAGCCCTTCCCCTCCGTTTATTTTTTTCCTCAATTGCTGTTTAACGGAGAGAAAATTTCTTTAACACATTTCTAAACATAATAGTTTCAAAAAGTCATTTCTAATAACTGATATATTTTATCTTTGCCAAGATGACAGTACATAATATTTGACTAGATATTTTTCAAGACACTTCTATACAGATTAAAGTAACATTTAAAGGCTTAACTAGTTTAATAAGGTTAACTAGGCAGGTTACGGTAGTTAGGCAAGTTATTGTATAATGATGGTTTGTTCTGTAGACTATCGAAAACAAATATAGCTTAAAGGGGCTAAAAATTTTATTCTTAAAATGTTGTTTACAGAAATAATAACTGCATTTATTCCAGCTGAAATAAAACAAATAAGATTTTCTCCAGAAGAAAAAACATTATCAGACATACTGTGAAAATTTCAACTGTTTATAGTTGACTGTATAAACTGTATAAAGTGACGTTCCATTATATATATATATATATATATTGTATTGCTGTGTAACCACTGTAGTTTTTAATAATGGTTTAAATTTGTTGTTTTATATTTTTAGCACCCAAATATGTCTATTGTTTTAATACATTTTCATTTTAGTTCTTTTATTTATTTATGTGAAATCAGAAAAGAAATGTGTTTCTTTCCTGAAAAAAAAAAAAAACATTAGTCCACTAACAAATAATAAAGGCACAGTAGAAAATACAGTTGTTAAAAAATTTATTTTAGTATCACAAAGTAACCACTGCAGTTTTAATAATCATTAAATTTATTAAATCAAAGATTTTAATAAGCAGTTTTTAGCACCCATTTGATTAAAGTTATTTTATTTTTTATGTAATATATATACATATATAGCACCCGTTTGATTTTTTTTTGGGATTTTTAAAATATTTTCCAAATGATCTTTAACAGAGCAAGAAAATTTTTACAGTATGTCTGATAATATTTGTTCTTCTGATGAAAGTAATATTTGTTTTATTTCGACTAGAATGAAAACAGTTTTTAATTTTTTAAACATTGTTTTAAGTTAGTCTACAGAACAAACCATCATTATATAATAACTTGCCTACCTGCCTAGTTAACCCAATTAGCCTAGTTAAGCCTTTAAATCTCACTTTAAGCTGTATAGAAGTGTCTTGAAAAACATCTAGTCAAATATTGTTTACTGTCATTATGGCAAAGATAAAATAACATAGTTGTTATTAAAACTATTATGTTTAGAAATGTGTTGAAAAAATGTTCTCTCCGTTAAACAGAAATTGGGGGAAAAATAAACAGGGGAGCTAATAATTCAGGGGGGCTAATAATTGTGACTTCAACTGTATATTCTAACTAAATATCTGAATACTAGAAATATCTGGCAACTGGTCTTGACAACTGAAGTGTAGAAAATCTCATAAATATGAAAGCAAAATCCTGCAAGATATTGGATATACATTCATATTGACCAATGAATATACATTTCTAAACAGCAAGGTCATAAAGTGTGTGTGAGTGTGTGTACTTCATTGTCTTATAAGTTGACAGACTCAGCAGCTGTTTATTCATATTTCTCTTTTTCATATTTTCCCCCAACCCTTTTTCCTCCTGCGTTTTAGGTGCACCACTGCAGCGAGACACGTGACTCATTTACAAGTAAAATATCCCAGTCAACAATGAGATCTTGAGTCAAGCGTCCACAATGTTTGTTGATGCTTAAATTGAAAGACAAAATCCGTGAAAAAATCATTTAAAAAAAGCTGCTGATGGGGCGATTGCTGCCAGACCCTCTTTCAGGAATTTGAAGACAGTCCCAAAAGGTTATAAAGTGTGTGTGTGTGTGTGCAGTCTCTTTGTGTCTGATTAGGTCTCTGTGTGTGTATGTGTGTGAGTAAGAGATTTCTTTGTCTGATTTGCCTTGTATGTGTGTGTGTGTGTTACCTTTGTGTCTGATGAGGTATCTGCCGAGGACAAGGAGGAGACAGAGCATGATGAAGACAATGACAGCGACCACTCCACCAATCACAGCATGGTCGACTCCCGAACCAGTGGACATCGCTGTAGGGTCTGCAGACGGGACAGACAGACAGACAGCTGCTGTAGACAGTCACGACCACGCACAATCAGAATCACTTCAACAATACACACCAGGCAAAATCAGAGAAGACTCTGAGAGAAACTTCAGCTGAAACTGACAAACTGTACAATTCTTATTCATCTCCACCTCACTTTTTTTTTTTTTTTACAAAGGTGCCGCATGTACAGTAACTTCGGGAATCCAATCTGTGTTTGATTCAGAGAGTCACAATGCGATGGCGTGAAGCTGAATGTATTTTGATTTGCTTTTGTCCTTTATATATGGATGCTGTGCAGCGGATGGAAATGTGTGTGTTTCTCAGAATACTTCAGGTTGAATGCTACAAAATGACTTAAATGACTGATGGAACGTCGCTGTAAGTCTATTCAGCAGTGCGTTTACCAAAAGTATTGTTATCCAACGACTCGCAACCATAGTTTCTTCTCAAACAGCACTATAAACTCGTGGTGGAGAAGCAGAGCCTCTTGCAAAAATGGCTCCAAGATAATAGTAGCTACTTACACATTGTCACTTAATGCTTGTTTCTTTTCAGAGAGATAAACCATTTATACAAATGCTTTCATGTAATCAATAAATCTTTCTTTCTTTCTTTCTTTCTTTCTTTCTTTCTTTCTTTCTTTCTTTCTTTCTTTCTTTCTTTCTTTCTTTCTTTCTTTCTTTCTTTCTTTCTTTCTACTTTCTTTCTTTCTTTTTCTTTCTTTCTTTCTTTCTTTCTTTCTTTCTTTCTTTCTTTCTTTCCCAGTAGGCACACAACATAAAAAAAAAGTCGTTACACAGACATTAAAAAAAGTTGACTCAACTCAAAACTGTACGGCATCTCACTGCAGAGCTTCTTTGAGTTGACTCAACTTTCAACCTAAGTATGGCACTTCACTCGATTTAAGTTGTGTCAACTCAAAAATGTCCAGAAGCTGGTTGCCTTAATATTTTAAGTTGAGTCAACTTTTACTCATAGTATAATATTAGGTTCGATTTAGGTTGTGACATCAGGAGACCAAAATTCAATAGCCAGCGTCTAAGGACAACGTTAATTTGATGTCCCAAAACAACGTCAAATGACGTCGATCATCATAGTGGTAACGGCCACACGATGACAAGCTGTAACACATTAGACATTGATTTTTGGTTGGAGATTGGACACTGATGTCAACCAAATTTTTATTTTCCAATCAAAATGCAACGTTTCCATGGCGTTGGAGTACAACATCAATCTGAAGACATGTTGACATCCTGTGCCAGCAGGGTCCTTTCTTTCTTTCTTTCTTTCTTTCTTTCTTTCTTTCTTTCTTTCTTTCTTTCTTTCTTTCTTTCTTTCTTTCTTTCTTTCTTTCAATGCCATATCAGCAGCATTGGCTATGATCATGGCATTTCTTATAGCAGAGATGCTCAAAGCAGGGCCTGCTGGCCAAAGTTGGCCAAGTGTAACCTTTGATTTGGCCCACCATTTCGTTTGACATAAACTTTTTTGTTTGGTTGTTTGTTTATTATTGAGCAAAAAAAAAAAAAAGAACGAAAAAAAAGCAAAAAAAAGCAAACTGAAATAAATGTTTCAATTAAATGTTGTAAATGAATCTGGTTTTTAAAAATGTAAATACTGTCACTCGACAGATAGATGACTGTGCAGAAGACATTGGCAAGCAAATCAAGGTAAAATCTAGTGTAACTTCATTCTGTTATAAATGAAATTGTTTTTATTTTTACTGTAATAAGTTCATTATGTGTAACAATACACTATTAAGCTTAACTTATAAAAGTTCAAATGTAAATGTACAACACATTTAATGATTTTTTTTGTTTATATATAAATATATGCTATATATGTTATTCGGCATGCAAATGATTTTTTTCATGTAACCTTCATGAGTGTTTTAGTTAAACATCATCATAAGGCAGACTCCGCATTTACGGCCACACTGGCTAAATGAAACATCCATTTTTGTCACGCGTTATACAAGTAAGGGGTTTATATATATTTGCGTATTACATATTGTCCCAAAAACAAAACACTGTATCTTTATAAACAAACAAAACACTGTACTTTTCTATTATTTTTCCTATTCATTTACAAAAGCACTACTTATGCATCTCTGTTATCAATGTTGTCTTTTGATATTAATTTAACATTCTAATTTGATCATTTAATGTTTAACGACCTAAATAAATAAAACAAAACAAACATCCCCAATCTGAGTGTTATATCTGACTATGTCATAAAACCTGTGCTATAACCCGCTCTCACATTTTTCTTTTTTTCCCATTTTGGGAAAATAGACAAAAGTGCTTTCAACAACCAGATGCATTTAGGTCTGTCCAGTTTTTTCTGAAATGCATTCCAGACCACCTCCTGCAGTGGTTTGATTGATCGGATTTACTTTATATCCATCTCAAATGCATTTCAGAGGGCATTCGCAACTGCCCTTTTCACAATTGAAAACCTTTCCAATCAGAAAAAAATACATGTAGCAACTAGGTGTAAACAGACCCACATAGATTCAAATATACTCACCAGCCACTATATTACGCACACCTGTTCAAATGTGTGTTCATGAAAAAGAATTAATCGGCCAATCAAATAGTACCAATCAGTGTATTTCATCAAATAAAGACGATCTTCAAAAGTTTAAACCAAGCATCAAAATGGAGAAGAAAAGGATTTAAGAGACTTTGGAAGTGGCATGGTCATTTGCGCCAGGCCAGCTGGTCTGAGTGTTTCTGAAACCACTGATCTACTGGGATTATCACATACAGCCATCTCTAGAGTTTACAGTTAATGGTCTGAAAAGGAGGAAATATGAAGTAAGTGGTCTGAGGAAAATGACCAGACTGATTTTAGCTGATAGGCAGGAAACACTAACTCAAATAACCGCTCATTTCAACTAGGGTCAAAAGAAGAGCATCTCTGAAAACACTAAACAGATGAGCTACAGCAGCAGAAAGCACTCCTGTCAGATTACAACTGCAAACATAGGCTTCAATTCACACAGGCTTTCAAAACTGAACAAGAAGATTAGAAAAGGTTGTCTAGGTTGTCTTCCGCTGCAATATTCATACAGTTTTGACAGAATATTTCACGGACAACATGAAAACGTTCACTGCAAAAAGTGATAAGAAAATTTAGAAAATTGAATATTACATAAAACTCATTAAATAAAAAAAATTATAAACTCATTGTAACTGGGAACTGTTAAGTCGACTTAATTTAATCATGCACATAGTTAATTTAATCCTTTTAATGTTATTCAATCATTTTAAAAGATTTACTCAATATTTTTAAGCAAAGTCAACTAATCGCTTTAAAAGCAATGAGTTATCCTTCAGGTTGCTTGTGGTGTAATACTGTGGGGAAATTTTCCGGGCACTCTTTGGGCTCTTATAGAGCATTTAAACCCCACAGCCTAGAGGACTGTCTAGCTGACCATTTCCATTGTTTTTGACCACAGTAAACCAATCGTGTAATGGCCACTTCCCAGCAGGATAATGATGTTACAAAGCTCAAATCATCATTATTCTATCAAAGTCAATATAGATCCCAATCTCTGACCAGTGATTCCAGCACATTGTTAAATCTATGCCACAAAGAATTAAAGCAGTTCTGAAGACAAAAGTTGGTGGGACCAGTATTAGAAAGGTGTGCCTAATAAAGTGGCTGGTCAGTCATTTTAATCAGTAAATTTCAGCATGTCAAATCATCATTATTCTTTTAATATGTCAATACAGATCATAATCGCTGAGCAGTGTTTCCAGCGCATTGTTGAATCTAAGCCACAAGAAATCAAAGCAGTTCTGAAGACAAAAGTGGGTGCGACCGGTATTAGAAAGGTGTACCTAATAAAGTGGCTAGCGGCATCAGTATATTTCAGCACGTCAAATCATCATTATTCTATCAGTATGTCATTATAGACCATAATCTCTGACCAATATTTCTAGCGCATTGTTGTATGTGAGCCACAAGGAATTACAGTAGCTCTGAAGACAAAAAGTTGGTGTGACCAGTATTAGCAAGATATACCAAATAAACTGGCAGGTTAGTATATATATTTTAATCAGTAAATTTCAGCATGTCAAATCAGTATTATTCTATCAGTATGTCAATACAGACCATAGTCTCTGACCAATCTTTCCAGCGCATTGTTGAATCTAAGCCAAAAAGAATTAAAGCAATTCTGAAGACAAAAGTTGGTGCGACCGGTATTAGAAAGGTGTACCTAATAAAGTGGCTGCTGAATCAGTAAATTTCAGCATGTCAAATCACCATTATTCTATCAATATGTCATTATAGACCATAATCTCTGACCAATATTTCTAGCGCATTGTTGAATCTAAGCCACAAGGAATTAAAGTACTTCTGAAGAAAAAAGTTGGTGTGACCGGTATTAGCAAGATGTACCAAATAAACTGGCAGGTTAGTATATACATTTTAATCAGTAAATTTCAGCATGCCAAATCATTATTATTCTATTAACATGTCAATATAGATCAATCTCTGACCAATGTTTCCAACACGTTGTTGAATCTATGCCACAAGGAATTAAAGCAGTTCAGAAGACAAAAGTTGGTGCGTCAGGTATAAGCAAAATGTACCTAATAAAGTGGCTAGTCAGTATTTACTTTTTTATTTATATATTTTAGCATGTCAGCCATTTACACCATTTTTAAAAAATATCATAGACTTAATGAATTGCATGTGTACAGGTGTAATGTTTTAAGGTGATTCAAAATGACAGGCTTATGCTACTTATGCAAATGAGAAATAATTATGTTAAATACATTAACTGTGATTAATTAATAAGCAGAAGGTATTACTCCATCTGCATGTGACAGTCCTATATTGTTGACTTAATAAGGTTAATTAGTTTATATAGTTAGTTTCTACAATGATACTGTTAAGCCATACAGGAGGAAACGCTTCACAGTTGATTTATTTTAACCTGTCATCTGCATATTGAATAAAGTTGAAACCTGATTATTCACACACCAACAAAAATAGAACACCTATGCTAATGCCGCTCTTTCAGTTAGCATTATTATTTTAGATTGTATTACTATAAATGTAAAAGTCTTTGTAGATTCTCGTGAGAGAGCATCACAATGCATCTTTTTTCCCAGCTCTAATAATGCTAATCTTAGAAAACAATTTCAAGTGATTTCTCCTTTTTATAGAGCCCTTGACATTTTCAGGCAAATTGAGCTAAAATAACCCACATAAGATGATAATCACTGAGAGCTTTTTCATTCAAAGAAGAACAGGTTTCATTTCCTGTCGTTGTTTTATTTTCAGTTTATTCCTGTGATCGTAATTTTTCTGTATTCAGTGTCATGTGATCCTTCAGTAATTTAATATGCTGATTAGATCCTCAAGAATCATTTGCTATTAAAACCGCTTTTGTGGAAAAACTATTACATGGACACTAATAATCCGATTTTAATATGATTACGTCAGTACTCTAATTAAGAGAGTTAACCATTTAAACAGCGATTTTTGATTACCAGTCACTGACTATGTTTACATCAGTAATCAAATTATTTGCCTTAATCTGAATCAAACAATAATAAAATTAAATTGTTTACATGAGCTGCTTTTTAAATGTTCCTTTCATGACCCCGTTTTACATGTGGTTATAGCACATAATTCGATTAGCGTCATTGCGTCAACACACAATCCACGTTTCCTCCAGTTTCATGTAATTTCGTGCATTTAATTTTTAATTTGTTGACTTTAACTACAGTTTGGCACTTCCACTTTCATACAGGAACATTTCATTCATGCCCCCCTGACAAACAAGACATTGGATGCGAGTATGAACTGCTGGAAGAGTGTTGTTTTAATGGAATGTGACACCCCAAGCCGTACGAAAAAAAAAAAAAACCTCCGCACTTCGCGATGCAAGCGTCTGATCCTTAACTGACTCGGTAGGTGCAGAGAATAGTGTTTAACAGCTGTGTGTGTATAGACTATCCTGTCCAAAAAGGTGTCGAAAATCTTACATGAGGAAATAGTTTAATTAAGGTGTTTACATGTCTGCACGTCAATAATTCTACTAAAATCAAACTCCACATGTCTTCGTTTGACTTTTGTTTACCCCGATTATGACCCTAATTGGATTTAACTAATCAAACATCGCTGTTTACATGGTAGACTCTTAATCAAAGTATTCTCCTAATCATATTAAAACTGTTTTATTGGTGTCTATGTAAATGTACTCAGAGACATATTTTGTTCCAGCATTGTTTCAAGAATGGAACATTAGTCTGAAACAGAAATCTTTCTTGAGATGAAAACTTTACTGTCACTTTGATAAATTTAAAGCAATCTTGCTGAACAGTATTGATTTTTTTTCTGTTACTGACCCCAAACTTTTAAACAGTAGTGTATAAAAAAAAAACCTCAGTATGTGTGGAGATTATTTGTAATGCGCTACTAAGTTCCAACAGTGTGATTTTTCCATCTGAGTCACTGACCTCTCTGTTTAAAAGGAAACACATGAATAATCAAAAGCAGGATTTCAGCGAAGAGTCTATCATAAGCTTCAGTGACTTTGCCTGGACTCAGAGAGCGTGAACGACATCCATCACTCCCACCCACAGAACGATCTCTGTCTCCTTCTCAAACAATACTCCATCAAAACAGGACAAGTTAACAGTCACCCTGACGCTCGCACGATTGAAGAGCAGAAAAAAAACTGAGGGCCGATAGATGAGAGCAGAGAGGATGAAGGAGGACGAACAGAGTGAGTGCTGAGTGACACGACAAGAAGCCCTGAGAGCGACATGGAAAAAACAGAGAGAAGGAGAAAAGAGGAACAACACAGAAAGAATACAGAAAGAGGAAGAAGGCACTGAAAAGATAATGTCTCTTTTAAACTGGAGTGCTTATAGCTCTTGCATTATGAATAGTATGAATTAGGGATTCACTGGTCAATATTAATACGTTGAAAATAACACAATCCGATGCTTTTAAAAAGCAGTGAAGTTAGGCTTCATAAAATTATAATGTTCAACAAAAAAGTGGACATTCATTAGAAGATTGTAAGCAGTGTCGTTAAATTTAGCATTTAGTTATCTCAACTGTAAAATAAAAGGAAATTGTGTTTGAGCACTGATAAAAACATTATAAAGTGGATTATTTATGCCTGACCAAACATTGCTCTATAGGGCCATTCACACCAAGAACAAGAATCATAAAAATATAACAACCGTAGTTAATGTGTTCACCCCACGATGATTCCTTCCAAACCCATGAGAGTTTTGTTGATCTTTTTTAATGAAATCAGAGAGATTGCTGTCTTAGTTAAAATAAAAAGGGGATATATTATGTAAACGTTACTGTTGCAAGGTTTAAAGTGTAATGGATGTTGGCCAGCCGGTTCCAATGATATCACTTGTTTGAATGGGTACTATTAGTGGTTATCAGCTGATAGATATGGGCCAGTAGGGGCCTTCTGTGCCTACTGGTAGGCTCAAAAAGCTGTTATCATCTATCCACATGGTTAATCAGCCATATCACATACAGCTGTGGCTGAAAGGTAACAACAATTATTTATATTATTTATTAAGTTTCCCATTAATTGTATTTTATCAGCGTCTACCCCTACCCCAATCGTCACAGTAATGAAAAAAACAGATCTGGATCTGGAGTATAGCTGATTAACCATGAGAATCAGTTATATTATTTATAAAATTTCCCATTAATTGTATTTTATCAGCGTCTACCCCTAGCCCAACCGTCACAGTAATGAAAAAACAGATCTGGATCTGGAGTCTTTTCTATTAGTATAGCTGATTAACCATGAGAATTAGTTATATTATTCATAAAATTTCCCATTAATTGTATTTTATCAGCGTCTACCCCTACCCCAACTGTCACAGTAATGAAAAAACAGATCTGGATCTGGAGTCTTTTCTATTAGTATAGCTGATTAACCATGAGAATTAGTTATATTATTTATAAAATTTCCCATTAATTGTATTTTATCACCCAACCTCAACCTCACAACCGTTACAGTATTGTAAAAACAGATCTGGAGTCTTCTCCTTTTGTATAGCTGATTAACTATGTGGTTGGATGATTACTAGCAGGCGCAAAGGGGTTCTACTGGCCCATATCTATCACCTGATAACCACTGATAATGCCTATTCAAAGGATTGATAACATTCGAAGCGGGTGTGTTGGCAGTGTGTGTACACAACAACACTATAACAATAAAAAAAATCCACCCAATCTTTGTTTTAAGCCCCATAAATCATAAGCAGCATCTCAGAACAGGTCATTTGCAGAATGTGTGAAATTTGACATCGGAAGTTACAGGCTCTGGCCATGACTGATGATGGACGCTGGCGCATTAGCATAGAACCCGCCATTATCTAATCCTTGAGATTGAAATGTTTTGTGGTTGGATGAATGAATATACAGAGTTTTCACTAGACTATTTCAACCAAAGAATTGTGTTTTCAACATGATATAACTCATATGTTGAGCATTTCAAGCTGAAACTTCAGGTGAAGCAATGTACTCACACTACATCTTGTGAAATGAGACATGAAGTCTTCTGTAACATCTTGTGTAACCATCTTTAAAATATCATTTGAGATTTGAACTCAAGGGTTTGGAATGACACGTGGGCGAGTAAATGATGACATAAAGTGTAGCTTTGAACTAACCATTTAATCATCTAACAGCCCTGATGTGGGGTCTTTATATCAAATTTAATGCTGGCAAAAGTACTATTAAATGCTAAAAATGCAACCATCTCCGCTCATTATCTTCACAGCAAACTGCAAATATAGCTCTCTCTAAACAGTTACGGCGAATCTGTTGAAAATTAGCAGCAAAGCAATCATTTTATCGTGTGATAAACAGTCTGATTCGATACAAAAATAGTTTATTCAGGGAATTAAGGGATCTCCCTTTTTTGACTTCAATACAAATGGATCAGCCTTTGCCCCCCGTTGGGTTCCCACAGTGTTGCACATTTTTCAGCAGAGATTGCAGTCCCCCCCTGGGGGAGGGTCTCTGCGTGGTGCACTCATGTTGATCATGCAAATCTACTACGGTTTAAATTAGCACAATGTGGGGGGAAATAAAAGAGGCAGAATCCAACTTGCAGCATGTAATCATAAATCGGCATCTCTTATGAGTCAGGCTCTAAAAAATGACCGGATTGATGACACGGGAAGATGCGTTTCCATGTTCGAATGATTGTTTTTGCTTCGTCCGCCATGCAGGATGCAGATGGCTGGACCTCCCTGTAGCAAAAAAAAACTCCGTCAATAACATACATCCCGCTCTTTCATTCTAAACGAGATGGTTTTCAAATTGGCTGAAAATGCAGTTTTCGGTGTGAGCCTAATTCATTTATAAGCTTTCAATGAACCAACAAATTTGCGCTGATATTAATAGCTTTTCCATGTAATATCAAATGTTTTGCCATCATTAAGTTCGTCCCTGCACCATTAACTATGTTCATAATGACAGAGCAATTCGACAGAGAGCGGTGGCCAAAAAAAAACATCCAGATTCATCATGAATTGAGAAGAAACAGACAGATGGTTGAGAAAAAGAGGGATTCATTCATAAGAGACAAAAAAAAGTAAGAAAGACAGGGCAATTCTAAAAGAAACAAATAGGAAGAAACGAAAGAAAAAGAAAAGAGAGAAAGTTTGAGGTGACAATACCTGCGGCGTTCTCTCCGGCTTCTTCTCAAGAGGATGAAGGGATGAATGGATGGATGGATGAGTGGATGGATGGATGAGGACCACATGAGTGGAGATATGAAGCAAGAAAAGGAACAAAGAGAAACGATGAAAAAAAAAATGTGTGCAAGAAAGTGTGTGTGTGTGTGTGTGCAGAACTCTCCCAGAGAATAAGTATCTCGCAACAGTATTAAAGAGGATTTTACGTAGCGAAATAATGAAATAATTGAAGCGGATGTTTGCTGGAGGGAAGGTGTGGTGTCAGATTGTGTTTCTGGATAATCAGAGGCTTTGCGGTGAGATGTGACTGGTTAAATCCTGCATTACAGTCAAAGCCGACAGCAGATGCTGCTCAACATGCTTCTGTGATACTGCACTGGAGATCTCAATATACATCTCTATCTTTCTCGCGCGCGCACAAAAACACAACCTGCTCGCGTATGAAGTGACACATTCAAGCTGTTCCACCCACACACCAGGGATGGGCATTTCTGTCTGCACAGGTTCCTGAAAGATGAATCAGACGAGGACTCAAGTGCTTAAGGGTCTACACATCTGCGCTTTTTTTTTTTTTTTTAAAAGAAGCTGTTAGAATATAAACACTAACATTGCTCTATTTATATTAGTATAAGAGTAACCTGTCATTGTTTACTCGCTCTCAAGTTGTGAAATATGGATTTGTGAAGACTATATGCCGTGTGAATGAGGTTGTAAAGCTTCAATTTGAAAGCTTTATGTGAGGATTTTTGAGTTTAAAATGAATATTTATTAATATTCCTCCATTCCATTCATCTGTTAAAATAAACAGTACTTAGTCAAATGAGTCAAGTTCATGAATGAATCACTTGGAGTGGTTTTGTGAAGTAAATAAAACAAATTGTTAAAAAGGTTCAACTCGAAAAAATGATTCATTCATAACTGAACAGTTTTCTCTATCATGAAGGAAATCTTACATCTGTAAATCTAGCGTATGGCTCCAGAAGACTTTTATAACACACTTTTATGCTATCTTTATTGTGTGTTTGGTCATTAATGCAGCTTGACAAACACAGTTCTCATTCACATTTTTATATTGACCTAAGCATGCCTCAGATTATCCATAAGGTTTATTTTAAGAAGCCGTTAGTCTATAATCACTAACATTACTCTATTTACATAAGTATAAACCTAATACAGAAACTCTGTCATTGTTTACTCACTTCCATGTTGTTAAATATGGATTTGTGAAGACTACTGTATGTGCTGTGTGAATGAGGACTGAGGCTGTAAAGCTTCAATTTGTAAGCTTTATGTGAGGGGTTTTGAGTTTTAAATGGACATTTATTAATATTCCTCCACCCCATTTACCTGTTAAAATAAACAGAACTTAGTCAAACAAGTCAAGTTCATGAATGAATCATTTGGAGTGGTTTTGTGAAGTAAATCAAACAAATTGTTGAAAAGGTTCAACTTGAAATAATGATTCATTCATAACTGAACAGTTTTCTCTCTTATGAAGAAAAGCTTACATCTGTAATAGCGTATGGCTCCAGAAGACTTTTATAACACACTTTTATGCTATGTTTATGATGTGTTTGGTCATTAATGCAGGTTGACAAACACAGTTCTCATTCACATTTTTATATTGACCCAACCATGCCTTAGATTTTCAATGAAATAAATGTTATAAAGTACTGGATGATAGGCATGGGACGATAATCGTTTTTAAGGTATGTCGCGGTTTGGTAATGTCAACGTTTTAACCGCTAAAATTTTCTGTAATACCGTTCCTAAGGTATGTGTAAGATTTTTTTATTTACATTTTACTTTTTATTTCTTAGACAACAGTATCTCCAGCAGAAAAGATATCCAAATATGCCGTTTTAAATTGTAAATAAATCTGTGTTTTTGATTCATTTGAGTCGGTGATTCATTTGAATTATTCAGACTTGTTTACCGCTTCAAAATATTTGAACTCTTTCACAAAATAAAATATGTTGTGTTCAAAGGGGAAAAAGTTGTTGTTTTTTACCCAGTCATTTAAAAAAGAACTTATTTTAGAGTAGTAATCGCAATGCCGTGATATTGTAAAACCGTGATATTGTTATCCAATGTTTTCATACTGTCAGAATCTTTTACCGGCCCATGCCTACTGGATGAACATGAGGGCTTTTTTTTTTTAGGAAGCTGTTAGTCTATAAAGACTAAAGTTGATTTATTTAGTACATTACTATAACCATAAAAACGGAAATTCTGACATTGTTTACTCACTTTCACTTTGTGAAGTATGGATTTGTGAATACTATGTGCTGTGTGAATGAGGACTGAAGATGTAACGATTCAATATGAAAGCTTTAAATGATCATTTATTAATATTCCTGCACTCCATTCATCTGTTAAAATAAATAGTACTTAGCCAAATGAGCCGATTTCATGAATGAATCATTTGGAGCGGTTTTGAGAAGTAAATCAAACAAATGAAAAGGTTCAACTCGAAATAACGATTCAATTATAAATTGAACAGTTTTCTCTCTAATGAAGAAAATCTTACATCTGTAAACTTAGTGTATGAAATTTTTAGATTGGCCTAAGCATGCCTCGGATGATCCATTTAATAAATGTTATAAAACACTGGATGAACATGAGGGTGAGTAAATGATGACAGAATTTGTATTTTTGGGTGAACAATGTGTTAACTGGAGTTGAGTTTAATGTCCTTAAGTGATATAAATTACATAAAAATACTCTATTTCTTTTTTATTTCCACTGGAGACTGGATATATTTAATAGAAAATAGAGCAATATCGTGGAATATAATAACAATTTATCATTATTTTTTTAATTCATTAAAATACATTTTAAAGTTTGCCCCTGTGTTTAAAAGCTGAATCTCCCACGCACATCATGATTTTGCTAAGTACGATGTGATCCTGGATTAACATCTATGTTGATCCTAAAACATTATTTTTGTTGGAAAATGTAATCCATACCTATTCTCTACCCCTATACCAAACCATAACTGTAAATTATTCCCAAGATCAGAGGGGAATAATAGTTATTAGAGGGGAACAATCATGTAGAAGTGCATAAACATAACCGTAAACCTAAACTTAACATACATGGTCAACACACATCCCCTACTTCTGATTGGCTGATTGGAATGTTTTCAACAGGATCAACAGAGATGTTAAATCAGGAACATGCCCTACTTGGTGAAATCAGGTTAGGGATCTTTGACATCAATTCTCCAGTCACATCGTGTCTGTTATTATTATAGAGTCAATAAATATTATTTTTTACACTCATTATTGTACAGTATTCATTTATCTGTGAGTCCAAAACTGGCTCATTTTATTCTAACACTCAGTTTGTGGCTTTCCACATATCCCCAAAACCCTATTATTAAAATTAATATTAGTTGTGCAGCTTAATTTGTCTCTTTTAAAAAACACTGTGATATTTTTAAAGACTATTTTGATAAAAAGACAATGTAGTCCTCACTGCCACTTTTAAATTGAATGCATCATTTCATAATAAAAGCATTAGTTTGTGACAAATCTCTTTGACAAAAATGTAAATGCCAATATAATAAATAAATGGCAAAATCAAAATCGAGTCCCCTTTGTCTCATGCGTGTCTAGTTGTTACTGAATTTTGATTAGTCCAAAATGTTGTGCAGTTTAAAAGTCAAGCCAATTATTGTGATGTCAAGATCGATCATTGCTGTCTCTTCTCAAAGCACTTGGGTAATGATGCCCATCCCAATCTCACACACACCCACACACACTTGCACAGCTATCTTTTTGGGGACTTTCCATAGAGGTAATGATTTTTATACAGTATAGACTCTATATTCTATCCCCTTACCCCAAACCTACCCCTAAACACACGCATTTTTACACATTCAAAATACTTAAATCTGTGTGATTTATGAGCCATCTTCATCATGGGGACTTTTTTTGGGTCAAATTATACTGGTATTGCTATTCTTGTCCCCACAATGTAAGGAAAACAAGACACACACACACACTCACAAACACATACACACACACAAACACACAGAGAAGGCAGAGGCATGTTAAACTGTGATCAGGTTTGTGTGTGTGCTCGATGGATTACCTGTAAAGGTGTAAACTCCATTCAGCCGAGGGACAGATGATGGAGTGGCGGGGGGGATGGTGGGGGTTGAGGGAGGGGTGTAAGCCGGAGGAGTGAGTTCAGGGAACAGAGCATTGGACAGAGCAGTGGTGGGAGATTCGGGAGAAGGAGGAACAGTCGGAGGAGCTGAAGGAGTCGAGGGGATGGGAAGAGTGAATGTGGGGATGACAGTGGAAGACGATGAAGAGGAGGTTGGAGGAAGAGTTTCGCCTTCGGTCGAGGGTAAAACAGAAGTTTGAGAAAGAGATGTGGGAGAAACGGTAGATGAAGGAAGAGTAAAGGAGGGAATTAGGTAATCTGGATCTCCCTCTTGGAAGATGAAGGAAAAGAAGACAAAAAAGAAGACGGCAGATGGAGAGATGGATGACGAGCGGGAGGGATGATGGAAGAGGAAATAAAGAGTGTGTCATGCACAAAAGAGAGAAACAAAAAAGAAAGGAAAGTAAAATTCAGAAAAAAGAGACGTGGAAGTCAACGTAAAACAGCAGAAGACATTTAATGATGACGAATACACCTTTTCTTGCCATCCATCCCTCCTCGTCGCTGGTCTGTGGTTAATTACCTTGTACCAGGAGGGTGTGTGCTACGTCCCCCATGCCAATCCCATTATCAGCCTGGCACTCGTAAACGCCGTTATCCGACTTGTTGAGGGACTCGAATCGCAGGAACGCACCATCCACCTTGGCCAGCGGGGGGAGCTCTCCCTCTTTCCTCCGCCACACAAACGCATTCGGCCTGAGAGAGGGAGAGAGGGAGAGATTACATTACAAAACGGACCACATATACAGCGTTTTGAAATTTTACATCAAAAGCAAAGCAGAAAGCGTCGTTTAATTGAGCAGATTGAAGGGTTTTGCAATTTGGCACACTATCAAAAGAGCTGCGGAGCACAGAGGGACGCACTGGAGAGTGTCCCGAATACGGCAAAGCTCAATCACATGTCAAGTAAAGCGATCCAGACTTCAGTTAATCAGAAGACAAGAAAATCATGCAGCCAAACTAATATTGTTAATCAGGGTATCTTCTGTCCATTCCATATCCTTTTTCAAAAAAAAAAGAAAGGAAAATTCAAAAACGGTTGTTTTTTGTTTTTTCTTTTGCTCACAAAATATGGGAAAATGAGATTTTGGCTCGATTTAAAATTTTTGGTTTAGGTAGGAAAACGAAAAACGACTTTAAAATTCATTATACACATTTAAGCGGGGCTGAAATGCCCGTTTTCCTCTGATTGGCCAACCAAATCTGAGCTTGTGACGTATATATGTATATAGGCTATAATGTATTCATTTTTTTCACCTTAGTCCCTTTATATTATTATAATTATTATTATATAGGCCTAGCTTGGAAGCAATCATGAATACCAGGTTCTGCTCGGAAATGGCTACCTTTGCTCAGCATCAGGTGCACAGCTGCAAACTATGACCTTATTTTAATGATAAATATGTAATAATACTGCCAATTAATGTTTTTTTTTATTTATGCATATGCAATGAATGTAAGCCTGCTAATTGATCGAATATGATTGAATATGTCAACATAGTTTATGTATATAATTAAATATTAATAATTAAAAGCCTAGGAGTTGATCCAACGAGGACTTTTATTTTGAGGGTGATGTCACAATTTTGGTTGGCCAATCAGAGGAAAAAGGGTGTTTGAGCACCTCCTAAATGTGTATAATGAATTTTAAAGTCGTTTTCTCTTTTCCTACCTTAAACCAAAAAAAAAAAAAAATCAAACCAAAATCTATTTTTTTTCTTCGTTTTTTTTGTGAGCAAAAGAAGAACTGAAAAATTGCCGTTTTCTTGGTTTTTCTTTTTTAGTTTGAAAACGTATATGCAATGGACGGAAGATGCCCTGATTATTGTTGCCACCTACGTGACCAGTAGCACCACTGATCAAAACATCAAGATCCATAAATTGCTTAACTATCAGGATTTGACTGGAGATTTTCACTGGAGGCTTTTAAACCAAGGGTAATGATTGTGTTTAAACAGGTTTCCTGAACATTCTCTGCATTTCCCATTGCTTAAAGGAATAGTTCGCCCAAATCTGATGATTCTGTCATCATTTGCTGATCCTTTACTTGTGCCAAAATGGTCCTCTAATGAACCCAAAGTTTTATATTTTAAAGAAAGCTGGAAAGTGTAACCATTGACTTACATACAGTAGTATTTGTTGGACAAAACATGAAAGTCAATGGTTACAGGTTTTCAGCTTTCTTCAAAATATATTAATTTATATTCAACAGAAGAAAGAAAGTCATAAAGGTTTGGAACCACTCTGAGAAATTATGAGTACATTTTTGGGTGAACTACTTCTTAAGCTAAACAAAAAGCCCCACCCTTGCCTTAAAGTTCTACCATTGGCTAAGCCAGTGTTTCTAGTATTCAGAAGATCAGAGAAATGTTTTGCTAACTCCACACAGCGTTCACACTTCCCGAGGAAGTCAGCCTACTGCTGGGATGAAAGAAAGTATTTTAGCATCAAAAAAATTACACACTTCATCTTTAAATTCCAGTCACACGACCAACTAACTGTAGCTTTTCCTCATGCGTGTCTAAATCAGCGTGTCTGCGTGTGTTACAGGGATTTAGGGAACTACAGAGGGGACGCAGGCGTATCATTATTTGAGCACATGAGTAAACCAAAATAATATGATCCTTATTGATGCTGATAGAATGATTTAGTCTTTTGTAGTTCATTTTTCTGTCATATGATCTGTTACTTGCCATACAGTAAGACACCAAAGAGGAAGGATATATAGATTTATGCTGTTTATAGGATTTATGTGTTTATTCATTCATTCATTCCTTCATTCATTCATTTTCTTTTCGGCTTAGTCCCTTTATTAATCTGGGGTCGCCATGGCGGAATGAACCACCAACTTATCCAACTTATATTTTACGCAGTGGATGCCCTTCCAGAAACAACCATACACTCTCATTCACACACATACACTACTGACAATTTAGCTTACGCAATTCACCTGTACCGCATGTCTTTGGACTTGTGGGGAAAACCAGAGCACCCGGAGGAAACACACGCAAACATGGGGAGAACATGCAAACTCCACACAGAAATGCTAACTGACCCTGCCGAGGCTCGAACCAGGGACCTTCTTGCTGTGAGGCGATGGTGCTACCCACTGTGTCACTGTGCAGCCCATTTATGTGTTTAAGTATCAGTCCAAGGCATTCGAAAAATGTGGAAAAAATATTAAAAAGCCTTTTATTCACATGGCTAAACCTTTAAAAAACCTACGCATTTTGGCAAAGAACTGCCTTGAAGGCAGCAACTTTACCCTGATGAAGACAGTTCTTTGCTGAAATGTGTTGGTTTTTTAAGGATTAGCCATGTGAATTAAAACGTTTAAATTTTTTCCACATTTTTCGAGCGTCTTGGACTGATTTTTGCTTTTTGTTATGATGAATCCCAACCCAAAGAGCAGCGACACATTATTTAAGCTACCCCTGAGCACTTTTGTTTGATTTTGTATAATTTTTCCATTCTTCTGTAACTATCAATGTTGTACAATAACTACCAATGACAATTGTGCCAAAATTTAAAATCAAAATGTTTTCAATCAAAATGAGCATTGGGTTTTGAATAAAATATGTGTCATGATTTCATATTAATTTTTATACAACACAATAGCAATGTTATCCATTTAGAAAAGTCAATATTTAATAATAATAATAATTATTATTATTATTGTTATTGTTATTATTATTATTATTATTTTCCCAGAGATGGGTTGCAGCTGGAAGGGCATCAGCTGCGTGAAAACATGTGCTGGATAAGTTGTTGGTTCATTCTGCTGTGGCAACCCCAGATTAATAAAGGGACCAAGCCAAAAAAAAAAAAGAATGAATAATAATAATAATAATAATATTAATAATAATAAATTATTTTCATATAGCACCTTTAAAACTTAATTCTCAAAGCGCTTTAGACAAAAAATACGGATTTAAAAACAGTTAAGAATAACAGTAAAACTGAATCATTCGAAATAAAATATTCAAAATTGATAAAACATTCAAATATCTAGAAACATAAAACAACCCAAGAGTGCACACCTCATAAGTAGGCGAGTGTAAAGTAGTGAGTTTTCAAGGATGATTTAAACAATTTTAAAGATTCAGCATGTCTAATGTTAAAGGGGAGAGAGTTCCAGAGCCTCGGAACCTGCGATCAGAAAGCCCGGCCACCCATAGATCGCAGATGAGTGGATGGGACTGTTAAAAAGACCACAGTCAGAGGATTGGAGGTCATGTGGAAAGTGTGGAGTGTGGAGCCAAACCATCCAGGGCCATGTATGTAAACATGAGGATTTTAAAATTAATACAGAATCTGGCTGGTAGCCATTGGAGAGATTACAAAACAGGATTAATGTGTTCTCTGATTTCGGTCCCTTTCAGAATTCAGGAGTTTTGAACATATTGTAGTTTATTGATTTTACTTTTGGAAACAACAGCTAGCAAACCATTGCAGTAGTCTAAGTGGGAAAAAATGAAAGTATTAATCAGTCTTTCTACCACAGAAAAGGACAGAATGGGGCAGATTCTTGAAATGTGTTTGAGATGAAACAATGAAGTCTTTACAGTGGTCAGCACGTGGGGGTCAAATGTCAGATTTTTGTCAAATATTACCCCCAAATTCTTTATTTGGCCTGATCCTCCACAGCAGAGCCATCTATGTTAATTTTAAGAGGTTTAGTTTTATGTAGTTGGTTGGAAGAACCAATAACCATAGGCTCTGTCTTGTTAGTGTTTAGGCACAAAACATTTTGGGACATCCATTTTTTTACCTCCAAAATACAGTGTCCCAAGTGTGTAACAGCTGAAAGATCACCAGGTTTGGAGTGAATGTATATCTGAGTGTCATCAGTAAAGGTGGTACTTTAGACCTAGGGATCCCAGGAGATGATGGAATAGCCTCTACACAAATAAAAACTGCATGCCTAGAGGATCCTTTTTTATTATGCACAGAAAATGTCTATTATTAATATTTCTAAAAACAAATTTGTTAAAATACACTAAAATATGATTTCAAACTGTATAATACATGGAATGTGTTCAGAATGTTATCATAAAGTACACAATTCTCTAATAAACAAACATTTTTTTAAACATTCAAGGGCATTCATTTCAAATATAAATATTTTCTAACACTATAATTATCTTTTCTGTCAGCTTTGATACATTTAGTGCCTTAAACAACATTCATTTCCTTTAAAAACAATCCTGATTACCCTCATATGTTTGTTTATTTAATGCATATATCGTCATTACCATTACGAATACTGTAAATGCTGCCAAGTGCTGTATCTCCTTCAGATAAAACCCTCTGTTTCAGCTCCCATTCCAGTAAGGAAGCGATACAGAGTGAAAGCAGATGAGAAAATGCGACACGGAGACACTATGGGATGTCTAAATGGGCTTGAATAGCTCTCGGTGTGCTACTAATGGATGTCAGGAGCCGTAATGAGCTGTAATGCGATCCTGCACCAGCAGAGGGTGATATTCAATTACATTAACTGCTATTTCCAGAGAGAAATATTTATGTGATAGAACCGGGCTTAAGTAGCTAGAAATGTAATAAATATATATCTGAAATAATAACGTTTCATCCTTTAGCTGCAGAAAGAGAGCAGCTGAAATCAGTCAGATCATAGAGACTGTATTTAAAACAACTCTATGTAAGGAAGTCTCTGATCCTTGCTGTTTTTCTCTCCTTTCTCATGTAACATCAACACAAATACCTTGGTGATACTGTCAAAATGAGCCGCATGCATGTGTTTGTGTGTGCAAAGGAGAGAAAGGAGATCAATAGGCTGACCATTTTCAGCTTCATACATAAAACATGAATGTCAAAGATGGAAATGAGAGAGTGTGTGTGTGTGTGTGTGTGTTTGTCTTACTCTGGATTTCCGTTCCCCACACACTGCAGGTAAAACTTCTCTCCTTCTCTGGGCAGGTCACTTTCAGGATGAATCGACACTCTTGGTGAAACTGAGAAAAACACAAACAAAGTTTTGTTTGTCCATGTTTGCAGTGCCTTTCCTTCATATGCATATACTGTGTAGAAATATATTGTTTTGAATGTATTGTATTTTTTTGAACCTATGTATGGTGTCTAGATTTTGAGGATCTTTTGGTCTACACTTCACTTTGTCACTCAGGCCCTATTTAAGTGATTTGTTTATTATGAACAGGTTTGGCAGTAATCAGGCCTGGGTGTGGCTAGGGAAATTGAATTGAGGTGTTAAGCTATGTTTTAACAGGGGGTCAAACACTTTTTCACACAGATCCAGAGTTATCATAAAAACCATGTAGCCAAACTAACATTGTTGCGACACATGTGACCTGCAGCACCACTAACTGAACCATGTCCATAAACTGCTTAATTATCAGGATTATTCATTTATTTTCTTTTCAGTTTAGTCCCTTTATTAATCTGGGTTCGACACAGCGGAATGAACCGTCAAATTATCCAGCATATGTTTTCTGCAGCGGATGCCCTCCCAGCTACAATTACCAGGAAACAACCAAACACTCTCATTCACACACATACACTTCAGGCAATTTAGTTTACGGAAATCACCTATACCACATGTCTTTGGACTTGTGGAGGAAACTGGAAACCGCCTGTCATTATTAGGATTCTACTGGAGAATTTACAGAGAGTAAATCAAGACTAAATGATTGTTCAAACAGGTTTCCTAAACACTCTCTGCATTTCCATTGGTTAAAAAGGGATAGTTCCATCGAATTGTCTAATTTGGTCATCATTTTACTTCACTTGGTCGAAAACTGATCATTCTTCTGTTGAACACAAAAAAAGGGGTTTTGAATAAAGCTAGAAACCTGTAACCACTGACTTACATAGAAATTCATAAAGGTTTGGATAACGGTGTGATAAACCAGAGTTATGTTTTAAAAGGTAGTTTTGTATTTTGTTTTCCTGTAGTAATAAAAAACCCTAATTTAAAAACTGCACAATGTGTTTACTTGTGTTAATAAGTGATATTTACATATTTACTAATATTTAATTTATACTAATATTGCTAATGTTTTAATATTTAAATTAGTTTGATGATCTGAAACATTAAAGTGTGACAAACATGCAAACTAATGAAAAATCTTCAAAGTGACAAACAATTTTCACACCACTATACAGTTGAAGTCAGAATTATCAGCCCCCCCTTTGATTTTTTTTCTTCTTCAATTTTTTCCCAAATGATGTTTAACAGAGCAAGGAAATTATCACAGTATGCCTGATAATATTTTGTCTTCTGGAGAAAGTCTTATTTGTTTTATTTCGGCTAGAATAAAAGCAATTTTTAACTTTTTTAAAAAAATATTTAAAGGACAAAATTATTAGCCCCTAGGTAAGTTATTGTATAACGATGGTTTGTTCTGTAGATTATCAGACATAAATATAGCTTAAAAGGGCTACTAATTTTGACCTTAAAATGATAATTAAAAAGTTAGAAACTGCTTTTATTCTAGCCAAAATAAAACAAATAAGACTTTCTCCAGAAGAAAAAATATTATCAGACATACTGTGAAAATGTCCTTGCTCTGTTAAACATCATTTGGGAAATATATAAATATAAAAAAAAACACACCGGGGCTAGTAATTCTGACTTCAACTGTATATTTGTAATTTGAAGAATCCAGATGCAAAACTCTCTAGCAATCTAGCAATCCATCAGACCTCTTTTCTTGTAAATTAGCATTTTCTATCAGGCTCCAATTATTAGGTTCAGAAGTTTCATTTTATGGATAATGAGGTTATTAACTAGTATAACTTTTTTCAAAATTGTAACTTTAGACAATTCTTTGGTTTTTAACAAGATAGATTTTCTTTTGCCTCAAAACCAGCTAAATCCACCTGTGCTCTGACATATGATGTGATTCACGCCTTCTGATTGGTTCTCGGAACAGAGTGGCTTTTGCTGTCAAAGGCCTTTTGCCAACAAACTGTCATTTCTGAATGCGCTGACGCTTGGATTTTGATAATTTAAAGCAAATCTATTTGTTGATGGTGTAGTATGTGCCTTAAGCATTCACTTAATGTCATTATCTCATTTGAAGTGGCGTTTAGGGTCTTTTGCAACTGAACTGTTCATATATATATATATATATATATATATGAACAGTTCAGTTGCAAAAGACCCTAAACGCCACTTCAAATGAGATAATGACATTAAGTGAATGCTTTATATAATATATATATTGGATTTGCTAATATTTTTATAATTTAATATATTAAAAACAAAAGCCATGTAAGCCACTTTTTATTTTAATCCTTTTGTCCTTAACTCATACCCAAATTAAAAAAGAAGATTCACAGCAACTGATTCATGACCTAAAAAGCAACACCAAAACATCTGCTTAAGATTTTTTTTTGTTTGTTCTTGTGTTAAAACATAATAAAAACTGCGATATATATATACTCCAACACATTTCTGAGGCTCAAACAAGGAGCTGGTGACAGCAACGTGAGGTTGTGGTACTGTACTTATTTTTCAAAGAAAGCATGCACCGATCTAACACGTTTTAAATGCAATGCCTAAAACTATAGGTTTGCATGAGCTGAAGTTTGAAGCTGTTGTAAAATATGTGACAAAAAGAGCTGTGATGGTGTGACCGCACATCAGTTGATTTCTATATTTAAGGCGGCACCATGTGACATCGCAAACCATCTGTAAACAGCCTACAATTACGAAGTATTCCCAACATATGCATCCAAACATAAAATGCTTAGGTTGTCTACGCTGAAAGCACCTGTCTGACATGGTGCATTTTCTGTGGTATAAACATATTAGGCTGACATTTTTAAAGTCGCACAGCAGTACACAGTCATACCGTTCAGCTCCACACAACAGCTGCATGAAATACGCTTTCTGGCTTTTGCATGCATGTCTTACAGAGGACGTTGAGGGGCTGCTCTGTCCTCTTGTCTCCATTGGCGATGGATGGATGGTCCACGGCGCAGGCGATCAGAGCATCGTTGTCGTCTCTGCTGACAGACAGCGTGAGTTCGCTAGTCACTGTGTAGGTCGGTTCATTAGGATTGGACTCCACGACATCAGGACGCCCTGCAAACATACACAAACACAATGGGAATTCTTAGAGACCATGTGAAATCACAACTTACAATGTCTATTTTTCTAGTGCACATAGTTATTTTTAGGTGAACAATTAATCCATGCTATTTAATCCAACAACAACAAAAAAAAACAAAAAAAAACACTGTTTTGGGAATCTTCAATCAAGCTCTGATGCTTCAGTAGCAATAATCTTAACAATGCCCCTCTTATCATTAGTTTGCTATGAGGGAATGATGCACAGAAAGAAAGCCCCACCCCCAAATCAATATTCAGTTCCAGTTGAATGTACATCAACATACTGAAATAAAACTCCAAGCAACTGCCAGTTTAAGTGAGCTTCAATATGTAAACAAAAACTTATAAGCACCGTTTAACAGTTTTTGCTTCAAACACACAATCGGCAACCAGACATTGCTTTGTTTTTAACTCCAATCTCTGTTCTGGGCTTGCATACAAAATGCATTACAATAATTTTGTAGCACAAAGTGTATGTAAATGAAGGGTTAAAAGAGACACAGCATTGAAGAGCCAGGAGTCATACTGTATTGATAGTTCAGATGTCACAGGGGAAAAAACACAAGATATTCTCCATTAAATTAAACAAATTTTGACCATTGTTGATTGAATACCTTATTTTATGATGTTTTCAGAGTTATAGAGAACAGTAACTTATTATTTACGGTTTAAAGGATAGTTTTAAATGACAGTTTTCATTATAGTGTGGTTAAGTGATTCTGTTACGGTTTATTTATTTATTTATTATTGCGAACTGCATGTATTTTTCTTCATACCGCCTTCTTGTTGTTGTTTTCTATTATCCCATAGGCTCCCACACCGGTGTGATCTCGTGTTCTGATTGGCTGCTGGTCTCGGAGGCCTGTATAAAAAGGAGCTTCCGGCAGGGTTCGGGGAGCTCATTTGTGCTGCGTTCGGTGCTGGGAGTGGAGCTCCTGGATTTCCCTTACCCCTCCGGCCAACGCCCAACAATCAATTTTGTACCATTGTTCATACGTTAACTTATTTTGAGAGTTTGAGCTTGTAGGACTGGCCTGCCTATTTATTTAATTACTTTTGACTATGTTTACAGTATGTTTAGGGAGAAAGGTAAGCTTCCTGTATTTTTCTTTAAATAGTAATAGGTAATTTAGTGCATTTACTTTATAGATTCTTTTGTTTGTTATTTTGGCCTGTGGTCACCCTGAAGAGATGCTCATTTATATTTATTACATTTGTCTATAAATCTATTCATATCTACTTTTAACTGGGTGTCTGAGTTTGGTGGTCGACCGAAGGAAATCTTTAGTATTAAGTTTTTATTTTTTTGGGGAAATCCACTACCCCAACAAATTTGTTTTCTTATTTTATTATGCCCATGTTGTTTTCCCCTAGTCCTGGGGTTATATAGATTAAAAATTAATATTTAGTTTCGAAAAAAAATTGCGAGAATTAAAAAAAAAAAATTGAGTCTTTCTATAGTCTATACTCTGTAATGCTTTTTACAAAGTTGATTATGTCAAAGCAGCTTAACATAGATGAAGAAAAGAGCATAAAATCAGGTGTAAAATCTTAGCTCTATTTCAGATTGTTCAAAATTCTAAGGCAGGCAGGAAATAGTGGAAGAGAATTGCCCAGTCTCTAAACTATTTTACATACTGTTAGAAAAGGCTAATTCATACAAATTCATACAACAACATTTACAAAAGGAGGCATGTGCCCAAACCCAACCCCTAACCTGAGCCCTCACTGGCTGATGAGCTAAAATCACACTAAAATGAACAACTGAGATCGTGCAAAAATGGCAAATTGCTGAAATAATGTGTTGGATAGATGCTGGATAAGTTCTAGTTGAACTGATTCAAGTTTAGTATAAATCAAGTTATATGAAAAATCAAGATTGGTGCAAACAAAAACTAACAAGTGCATTTCAACAAGAACAACAAAAACAAAAACTTTCTGAGAAGATTTCTGTGTACTCTCAAAAATATTGTTCAAACTACGTTTTTAAAATGAGTTGAATCTACACAATTCCTGAGTTTAACTTACATGTTATACAAGTTAACAATAAAGTTACTTATGGTGAGTTCAGACTGCATGATTTTAGCCCAGATTTTGACTCACCAACAGGTTTTGAGAAATCGCAGACAAATGGCCAAAATCACAAGCAAATTGGTGCTCGTTCACTTAAGTACCAATCACACAGTGTGAACTATCAAAGACTCGATCTGAGAGAATCGCCAGTGAGTTGACGATCCAGTGAGATATTTGGTATGCTAAATATCAGGACCTGTCGCAGATTCAAAATCATGCCGTGTGAAATGTGTTCTGATTGAACATAACATCTGTGATCACCTATAGCCAATGAGAGAGCAGTATCCACTAGAATGGGTATCTACAGGACAGCAGGAGGATGGGAGAAGTTAAAAGGCCTTCTTTTCGGTCTATTTGGACCCATAAATGGAGAAAAAAATTAGTGTAAATTTGGCAGCAGCAGCACGTGTGTCTGTTTGATGTGTGACTTGAAAAATTTTGCAACCGGGTCGAAAAGGAAAAAAATTGAGGAGAAATTGGTAATTCCCTTCAAACCTATAGGTGAGCAAAGTAAGTAGATTTCCTACCCCCCTAAAAGCTTCTTTCTCATTATGTAGTTAATAACTAAAGATTTACTACATGACCTCGCGCTGTTTTCCTATCAATTTTCAAGTGTGTTGGACAAAGTTTTCAGTGATTCTTCCTATTTTAAAGTCATACAGTGTGAAACCCCCTGTCGCTGATCCATCTTGCAGTGTAAACACAGCAGCAACAGAACGCTACCCCAGATAACATCAGCGACACGACTGCTTGAAAATCGCGCAGTGTAAACTCGGCATTAATCGATTTGTTTTGGGACAACATGGAGGAAATGTGTGGAACCCAGCATTTTTTTAACAGTGTATGTGTATATATACCTTGAATCTCCACATGGTCACGGTACCAGTGTAGTTTGGCAGGAGGTTTGCTGCCTGAACTCGTGCAGGTAAGAGTTACCTTGCCACCCTCCTGAACAGCACCTTCGAAACCTGTTATCACCGGCTTACCTGGAACACCTGCGAGAGACAAACAGAGAGAGAAAAAAAAACAGAACATTTCAGGTGCAATCTGGAGGTAATAAGGACATAACAGCTTACAGTAAAACGTAAATAAGATGAAAACAGTTCTGCTCACACAGTCGCAGACACGCTGTCAACAACAGCTCTAGTTGTTAGCCAGAAACAGTGAATGAAGTATACAAATCAAGCAATATGCTAATGAAATATAACTCCAGGAAACATATTTATTACCAATTTATTGCTGTTTAAATCAGCAGTACAAATGCAAGCATCATGTTGTCCATAGTAAACACAAACCAGGACCTGACGATGGAGAGAAAACATAGGTATAATAAGATGAGAGGTATAATAAGACGAGAGAATGACAATAAGTATTATTTATTTTACAGTTTTTTTGGAAAACAAAAGTGTTCTTTGAGCTTTGTATGATTACAACTGAACCTCTGATATCTGATATACTCACTGATATACACAAGTAATATTTTGAGAATATCTTTGTAATCATACAAAGAACACTCCAAGAACACTGTAAAAAATAAATAAATAAACTAAATCAAATAAAACTTTGTTCACCTATGTTTTCTTTCCATTGTCAGGTCCTGGTTTGTATTTACTATAGACAATATGATGGTTGTGTGTTGAGCTGCTCATTCTAATTGCAATATGTTGGCAATACAAATTTGTTTTGACAAGTTTTTGGTTCCTTTTTGGGACTTTAAACGTCTTTTAATCCATGAAGTTTGTGGAGAACAAGAGCTCTTAGATTACATCTAAAATATCATCATTTGTTTTCTGATGAATGAAGGATTCAAAGGTTGGGAAAAACACAAGGGTGAGTAATTAATAACAGAGTTTTTATTTTTTGGGTGAACTAACCCTTTAAGTTTTACAAGTATTTAAAAAATATTCATTTATTTTCCAAGAAAAATGTATGTCTAATTTTATTGATGCCTTCTTTCATCTGAAAAATATCGCTAAATTACAAAGTATGCTACCCATCTCTGATGCAGAAAAGCTAGTTAATGCTTTTATGACTTCTAGGCTGGATTACTGTAATGTTCTGTTCGCTGGTTGCCCAGCATCCTCCAACAAACTTTAGCTAGTGCAAAATGCAACAGCCAGAGTTCTCACCAGGTCTAGAAAATATGATCATATCCCTCTAATTTTATCCTCCTTACACTGGCTGCCAGTTGCATATTGTTTATAAAATATTGCTTCTTACCTATAAAGCTTTCAATAATTTAGCTTTGTGTTATCTAACCCAGGGGTTCCCAAACTTTTCAGGCCGCGACCCCCAAAATGACAATGCCAGTGACTCGCGACCCCCAATATCCTCTGAGGTGGTTATAAATACAGAAAACTTGCATGCAATGGCGCACACACACCAATGAACCAAAGTCTATTCTTCTTTTAATTTTTTTAATGTATGAGAGCTGTAAATGGGCCACAAAGTTTAACCAGGTGTTATGAAATCTGCTGCATCTGACGCTATTGCTGTGTCTTTAATACAATGTAATTACCGCAGGGGTTGCAATCCAATAGAAGTAATAACTATAAGCTATACTATAGTAACTATATATGGTATAAACAACGATATTTTTTCTCTTCAGTAGGTTATGGATAAAATATGGTAATTCTTATGGCTTAATAAAAATAAATAGATTTTTGGAAACCACCAGGCGACCCCCCCTTCATTGTCCCGCGACCCCTCGGGGGGTCCCGACCCCCACTTTGAGAACCATTGATCTAACCAACCTTCTGTCTTGCTAAAATCCAACCCGCTCTTTAAGATCTCAAAACTCAGGGCTTCTGGTAATATCTAGAATAGCAAAGTCTACAAAAGGAGGTTGAGCCTTCTCATTTATGGCTCCTAAATTTTCAGCAGTGAAAATTAAACCACACTGAACTTAACTAAACTGAACTTCAACTCTGAAAACTGGACTGACACAGTTTACAAAGTATTAAAACGTCTATGTTAAGCTGCTTTAACACAATCTACATTCTAAAAGCACAAAATAAATAAACATGAATTGAATTGAATATTACCATTAACTGGTTTCATTTTATATATATATATATATTTATTTCATATAAACCTACACCCCATTCAGATGACACTCCATAAATATGGACATGTCAACATTCAACCATTTTATGCAGAGGGCTTAAACAGCTTGACCTTTTACAGCAGATTTTGTTCACAAACAACCAACAGTCGTGACCTAAATATGAATTCCATTTGCAATGAAAAATCCTTAAATTCAAGAATTATAGCTAACATTTAGTGCCATCAGTCGCAGGCAGTTGAGTTGAGAGGATCCCCTGTTTCTGAATTTACCATGTAAAGCATAAAATTTGTTGACTTGAATTAGATGCAAACTGGACCTTTTGAAATAACTGTGAACTGATTTAACAGGTTTACTGACAAGATTTAGCTTGTTCACAACTCATATTCTCCACTTCAAATTTAATTTTTACTACATTTTGGTCCTGTATTCATGTTTTCCCTACGCTCCATGATGTTTTGCGTGAATCAACTGCTAACTGTATAAAAAAAATAAAATAAAAAAAAGTCACTTAAATGTTTTTAAAAACTGGCTACAATAAGTTGTCATTATTCTCCTCACAGTTTATTAAGTCAACTTATTAGAATTAACAAATTACTTTTAGCAGACCATGAATAATCCCAAAAAACTGGGAAACTCCAGCAGCAACATTACAGACAAATCCCGAATATAAGAGAATACAAAAAGAAGGAAGTAACAACACACAGTAAACCCAAAAGAGCTTTCGCCACAGACAGGCTTGTGATACTACGGTCACGTTAAAACACCAAGCGTAAAGTTATTTTCATGACAGGATAAAAATACAGCACATAGCCAAACACACCTTTCACCGCTTTCACCATGGGTATGGATTATTTGTAGCACAACCTTATTATGGGATTTGTTTCAGTTCTTTTGAATGAAACTTCCACAAAATGGAAGTGAAAACCACAGTCTGAAATGCAGTAGTCAAGTGTAAAAAGGTGGACAGTGGAGTAAAAAGTGCAGTATTTTGTTTTGGATGTGAAGTAAAAGTAAACGTTTTCTCTGACTATGTACAGATACTTGAGGGAAAAACAGCTGTATGTACAGTACAAAATACAGATCATGTTAAAGGAAAATGGTAACTAGAACTAAATACCATAATTGAGGATGAGATCTGGATTGAGTTATTGTTTTTAAAGGATGTCATAAAGCAATTTTAGTCAATTTTGGAAAGAATTTCATTGGAAGTAAAAATAATACTCCTTTTGTAATTTCTACATATGTAAAGGGACCACCTGTTGCTTTGTGTTGGAGAAAATTGGGTAAAATTGGAGATCCTACACACATTTTTGGGCCTGTCCTAAGATTCAAGAATTTTGAAAAAATGTTAAAAAAAGAAATAGATAAGATGTTAGATATAGAAATACCCCTTGATCCAGTTATGTGCTTACTGTGAGCAATGCCCAGAAAAATTTATAATGAAGAAACAAGATTTGTCCTAATAATACTATTATTGGTTGGCAAAAACAATTATACAGTACATTGAATGGAAGAAGGTTCTCAAAAGGTGGCTCAGTGGAGAGACTTAAACAGGTCTATATAATGGGAAAATGATGACTGCATGTCTACAAATGAAGACTGATACTTTTCTGAAGAGGTGAAAAAGTATTACGATATATTTAGATATGTATATTTAGAGATTACTTAACCTATCACCACTGTAGTTTAAGGTAAGTACAAAGTAACACAACGTAACTTGATGTACAAATGTATCCCCAGAAAATTAATTATAATGGCAGTACCTTTTATTTATTTATATGTATTCTTTTCTTTTAATTATTACTATTTATTTTAATTTTTTTTTAAATTTCATTATAATTTCATTATTTTTTATATATTTCCTTGTCTGTAAGGGGTTAAATTGTTGGAGAAACAGGTTTTTCTGGAAAAAAATAAATAAATCTGTAAATAAAACCATTTTCTTGTAGATTCCTGCAGAATTCAGAAGTCCATCATCAACTTGGTCTGCCCTTTGCATGTTTTTTTTATTATATAATAAATTGGCAAATGATAATTTTTTATCTGCCAGAACAAATTTGACTGCGTTTAAATCAATTATGCAGATTTCCCCCCAAAAAACGTGGCAGAAAATGTGGAGAGGTGTGCAGGTTTGCGTAGGCTTGGTCACATCAAACATGCTTACACGGAGCCGCTGGTGCTATATTTTTTTAAAAGAGGTGAAGCACAGATGTCAGTTATCAATGACAAAATGTGAATCTGGGTGTTTAATCATGTTGGTTTGCAGCATGGCTTCAGAAGGCAGTTTTAATCAAATAATATACATTTATTCATTTTCCTTCAGCTTAGTCCCCTATTTATCAGGGGTTTTTACAGCGGAATGAACCGCCAACTTATCCAATATATGTTTTACACAGTAAATGCCCTTCTAGCTGCAACCCAGTACTGGGAAACATCCATACACACTCATTCAAACTCCTACACTACAGCCAATTATTCCACCTATACCGCATATCTTTGGACTGTAGGGAAAACCGGAGCACCCAAGGGAAACCCACGAGAACACGTGGAGAACATGCAAACTCCTCATAGAAATGCTAACTGACCCAACCGGGACTCAAATCAGCGACCTTCTTGTTGTGAGGTGACAGTGCTAACCACTGAGCCACCGTGTCGCCCATATCAAATAATATTTTACCACTTATTGCAATACCCATAATAAGGGATACTCACTCACTATCCTTCAGCTTATAACTCAGTTACAGCCTATAACTCAGTTTTTTGACCACACTCCGTTATTATTGTTCATTTATTAGTTTGCTGGAAATTAGAGCTGAATTTAGAAATAGTTTTGAAACAAATCTCTGCGCTTAACAAATAAAACTAATTATGTAGGCTAATTGATGTCATTAGGGGAGTGCCCAAAACTCTGTTTCCTTATCCACGAAA